CTCTGTTTATGAGGAATGTCAGCAAATCAGAGGATCCCACTCTGGCTAAATTACCTGGGGATTTTCCACATGAGAATGCTGCTGAGCCGTGGTGGAGAGCTCGTCATGCTGCTTGCAGTGCCTAAGGCACCAGGAAAGGATCATCAGGTTGGAAAGATGCTTAAAATACCCTGTGAGCAAGGGTGAGATTTCCACGTGCAGCACAGCCAGGCTGCCAGCCCCTGCAAGGTGATCCCCCCACTTACTGTTACTAAACGAGAGAGGAAAGCAGAGATTGCTCTCCTTCTGATTTTATTCTCGGAGACAAGAGCTCTTCTCACCGGAGGTAAAGCAAACCGGGGTGAGTTTTCTTTAGAAGTAGAGAAATGCCAGGTCCTGACTCGGTAGATTTCTGGCAACAGTTATGCCTTGGAAAAACAAGCTGTGTTGGCAGCAAAGTGAAGGACTCCTGTTTGCTGGGTCTGTGGATGTTTCTCCTAATCCGGAGCAGATGGAGCATATCTCCCACCCCACAACGCTCCAGCAACGTCTGCTCCAGCATTCCTGCACCATCAGAGCACCCTCAGCATCAGGGCTGGGCTCAGGCTGCAGCCCTGGAGCTGCCAGAGGACTTCAGTCCTCTCTGCAGAGCAAGAGGAGTGGGAGGGTCATCGCATCGTGGTGGCACCCATTACATCTGTTTGTGGCAGCTGGGCTAGGAGGGAGGGCTGCATAGGAGCTGAGGCACTGCCCCTCAGCCTGCTGCTCCTCTGGATGATGGGGGCCCTCAGCCCCTCAGCACATCGCTGCTGGAGGGCAGAGGATGAATGTTCCCTCCTGCGGCCGGACCCATGGATCTCACTGCAGAACAGGATGCTGCAGCCTCACTGCTGCTCCCAGCCATACTTCCAGCCCAGCTTTTGGGCTTTTAGAGGGGACCTTGTTCTCTCTGGGTATTAACAGGAAACTGTCCTCACTAATTAGCATCTTGCTAATGAACTGGGCAGGAAACAGTTCCAAATCCCAGGGCTGGGCTGTCCAAAATCTGCTAGTGTTTGAACAGAATCTTTGGGTTTTGGCCTTGCTTTTTCTTCTTCCTTTTTCTTCCTTTTTCTTTTGCTGTTTTACATGTGGCCAAAGAAAACAGTGCTCTCCCGCTGCCCTTAGCCTTGTGTTACCATTCCTTCTTTAATTATTCTTCTGGGATCCACATACCCCCAATCCCACACAGCTCCCATGCTCTCTTCTTGCCCCTCCAGCATGGTCATGACTGATTTTCGTGCTGCTTGCCCTGCTTGGAAACCAGGCAGCAAGAGGAGGGGCAGGTGGTGCTTCCTCCCATGTCCCCCTTCTGTGTAACAGCAGGACAAAGCTCACAAAAGGAGCAGAACAGGACGGTGGCTGAACATCACTCTGTAATGGTGGCTCCCCAGAATAAGAAGAAAGCAGGACAAAAATAGACCATTGGGAGCAGCTCCCATCCTGATCCTTGGAAGCTTTCTTCCTTGCAGTGCTGCTGCTGCCCTTGTGGTTCTGCACAGCCCCTGTGCTTGGGGGACGTGCTACAAAGCTGGGCAGCAGCTCTGGAGCATGCACACAGAGCTCCTTTAGTGGCTTGGCACCTTTGGGCATCCAACGTTTTGGTTTGCCTGGGCTGCACTGAGTGAAGAGGAATTGCCTAGGGCTACATCTATGTAGGGTGCTCCCAAAGTATTGCCTCCTAATTGTTTCCATGGAAATTACAAGTGCATGATAGCACTACTTACTAGGGCAAATTCTCAGCTACAAAACACTCTTTTTCAACACAGACACTACCATTAGTGATGCATTTTCACCAGTGATAAACAAGAGCCACATTCATATCAACCTGCACCCACTGTCACTGTCCCCACTGCTGAAATGTACCCACAGCCTCACTGCACTACATCCACTGTTTGGTCTCCATAGATGTTCAGAAATGAATGTCAATGGGTGCCATTTTTTTTCTCACTGAGGAATTCATTTACCCATCTTTGTTTCAGCTGTACGTCCATGTCAGACACCATTGTGTCAGATTGCCCCTTGCTGCCATCTGTCTCATGGCAACAGCATGCAGTGGCACATTGGTAGGAAGGTTCAGCCTTCGCTGCCATCCCACCAACATCTCTGCCTTTGATATCATGGACCAACATAGTAAAATAGGAGGTATTACTTTCACAGCAGCCCTTGTAAAACATATAATGTATTCAGATATATAAGTGACAAAACTTACTTTAATTTTTAATTTTTTTCTTAAGACAAATAAAAAAGAGAGCAGCAACACCATAAAACTAGTGGGATATGTGACCTTGTTATTGTAAAACCAGCACATCAGGTTGGTTCAATGACAGTGCTTGCCATTCCCATTGAGTTCTCAAGAGCTGGACATGCCCAATCTTTGAGACATGCATTTCAAGCCCAGGAAAGGCTTTTGTGCTGGCTAAGGAAATAGCTAGATGAAAAGATGGAGAGAGCTGATAAGGAAAAGGGTAAAGAGATCGTGCTGCAAAGAAAGAAGGGCAGCCTACTCCCATGTCTTGAAACGCCCAAAGCATAAAGGGAGAACTGGCAGAGGTCAGGCTGAATTGGCTCTTGCAGAGGATGCGAAGAAAAATAGCGAGAGAAGTTTTAGCCTTACACATCAGAGGAAAAGGAGGAAAGAAAAAATGGAGCTGCTGTACAGGAAGGATGGGGGCATGGATTAAAGCTAGGCTTAGCGCAATCCAAAATGAAAGTACACTATTTCTAATGTCCTGTGGGTGTGCAGAGGGCATGAGAAGACGAGAGGAGGTGGAAGTAGAAGCATCACATCCTCTGGCACCAGGAGTCAGAGGGCAGCGAGCTCCGGTCACGGGTCATGGCATGGGGAAGGTTGTCATGAGTGATGCCTTTGTCATACGTGTGAGTGCTACCTCTCCTTCCCAGAACTGCAGTACTTGAGTCGCCATCTGGTTTCTCAATATTTCTAGGAAAATCCTTATCTCTGTTAAGCAGAAAGTCACGCCTGCAACATGCTTCATCTGCAGCAGAACAGTCCCCCCCAGCAGCTCACAGCCCCAGCTGCTTGCACATGGGCTCCTGCTGCACAGCCCAGCGGTGCTTTGCAGTGATTTACCCTTGAATTTCTCCCCCTCCTGCACCCCAACAGGAACGGCCCCATCAGCCCAGTTTCCCTCCAGCCAGGAAGGGGCCACAGGGGACTGCTGGAACCAGCACAATTCTAATTCAATTTCTACCCTCTTTCCCTTTTGCCTTCACTTCATTACAGATTATTATTTTTTTCGCAGTTGATTCTGTTTCCAATTGAACTGCCTGGAGGCTGGCTCCTCTCCTCCAGCCGCTCCTTCCCACGGACCCATAGCCTGAGGGCACGATGCTCATTTTGGAGAGACAAAGCAGCGTCTCATTTCCAGTTAGTGGCTATTTCATGCGGCACTTAAACTAGACAAGAAATGACTTCTGCGCATGGAGTTACCAAAACTCCCATTGAATTGGGACAATGAGTTGGGATGTTTGTAGACGCATTCAGAGCCATGGCAGGAAAGGTTATTGCTTCCATTCCCAGCCTAATCTACTGCACACATAACAAGCATACATTTCTAAATAAGTTGTTTCAAAGAAAAAAAAAAAAAATTCCTTTGAAAAGCTCCACTGTACAACTTCACAAAGGTTTCTAAATATAGCTACTTTCACTGAACAAGTGCAAGAAGGAGACTGGGCAAATGGCTTTGAAGAGCCACCGCATCTCTCTTGAAATCATGATAAGGTTGAAGTGACCTCAAAGCCCCCCCAGCTCCAACCTCTGCCGTGGGCTGGCAGCCACTTCAGGCTGCCCAGGGCCCATCCATGGCGTTGGGCACCTCCAGGGATGGGGCACCCACAACCCATCCCACCCCCCTTCACCATCACCTCGCACTACACAGCTGCCACATACTTTGTGCTATAGCTCAGTGCTGTGCAAAGGAAAGATGAGGGCTCACCCCACAGATCCGAGGACGGTCCTTTTCTGAGCAAGTCCAGCTGCGTTTCGCTAAAAAATTTTTCAAGCATATTCCTAATGATCTGAATTGTTCCTGAGCACTCCCTGCAGGCTCCAGCCGGGTTTTGGGGGGAGCATGCTCTTCTGAGAATGCCATTTCTTATTTTTGTCAGCACATTGAACATAGCCTCTAAATTAAAATCTTCTATTCCCAGCCTATTTTGATCAACTCTGCTTCCTTCAGCTTAAAAGATACAATAAGAATAGATGAGCTCTTGCAAATTAAAAGCCTCTCTTGCTTAACAAATTGTCTCTCCACAATAATTAATTGTCTGGAGAGAGATTCCAGCCCTAGGTTTTTGGCCTTATTCCAGGCTGTGTAAGGGAAAAATATATATATATGGATATGTGCTTCCTGCAGGCCTTCGTTGTGCCCTTCCTGCACAGTGCAACAGCCCCAACCCATCTACCTGGTGCTGTCATGGCAGTGTCCCCAGAGCTGCCCCTCAGGCATCACCCCCCCTTAGTGACCCCATCCAGACAGTGGGACCTTCACCCCAAGCTGTTCTTACATCTGTGGCTGCACAGGGGCTGTGAGCAGGCAATGCCAGGTGCTGAGCTCCAGGCTGCCTTTGGGACTGAGTCTGACCCCTTAATTTCCTTAAGAAATTCCTTCCAGCATGTGACTTTCACAACGAGTAAATTTAAATTAATCTTCATTTCTGCAGACTAAGCCCTTGGCTGCTTCTCCTCTCAGGGATAGGGAGGTTCCTGCCCTACTTCATGGTTGCAAAACTAGAAAGAAACATAGGATACAGAGCCTGCTCCTGCAGAACCCTACAGGCTTTGCTCTGAGGTCACATTCCCCAGGCCTCTTCCTCACCCATGGAGCTCTGCAGCCTCCACCAGGGTCACAGCTGGCTTTGGCCACCCCAAGAGGTGCCTGCCCCAGGTGTCATCTGTGGACAGCTGCACTAGGGTGGGGGTCGAGGACTTGCCTCAATCAATGTAAAACACGTAGCCCTTAGCCAGCTGCAGGATGCTTAATACCAGCAATCCAGCACCCTCCAATCCTCATCAGAGCCTGGAGAGCTTTGTCTAGATCAACAAACTGGAAATAAACCTCTAACATCCTCTCCCTGCACTATGAGAACATACAGGAATACGTCACAGGCTGTGCCTTCAGTCTGACACTGCAGCACAGCAGATGGGATCCTGGGTCTGACCGGGATCGGCACTGCGGCATCTGGGAGGGTGGAAAAGGCTCGAGCAACCTTTTCTTCCCTGGTCTTGGTATTGCAAAGTTGCCTGGGGACAAAGATATTCCTGGAACAGCAAGCACTAGTGGCACTCCAAATATATATAATCACTTGAACACATCTGGGAGATCCTCATCTTTTAGCTGTGCTGTGCGTCCTGATGATCAAAGTGAGCCATCAGTCTCTCCCATCCATAGAGGAAGCAGCCTATCACAAAAGTCCCATTTGCACAGTGCTGGCCTACCCAGCCATGGCTGGAGCCCAGCAGGACCCCTGGCCCCATGCTGCCCTGTTAGTCCCCAGGCACAGCTTCCCATCAGAGCTTCCCACAGCACCCACATTTGCCAAACCTCACACTTTATTCCTGGAGTCCCAAACTTTCCCTGACTTCACTTGCAATTTCCCAACACACAGTTCCCAGCATTGCCTTGGCCTTTAATAAACTGCTCATTAGAGACTCACAGGATGCCTGCCCATGTGGGGAATATCCCAGTCCATGAGTTTCTCTGGCAAGCCCTGGTGTCAGCTGTGATGCAACAGTGGCTCAGCCACCAGCTGCCATGTCCCTGCCCATGGGGCTACTGGATCCTCACAGGGCTCTGATCCCTATGAGCTTCCCAAGAGAAGATGGAGCTTGCTCAGCTCTGAGCCTGAGGGGTTTTCTTGCCCCCAGGCAGCAAGAACATTACATTAGAAGAGATTAGGGCAATGAGACTGGAGAGGTTCTGCCCCCATAACCAGAGTTGCATATTCCTACAGGGCACTTCCCATCCTGAGACAGATTCTAGACCAAAAGATCCCTCCTCGAGCAGAGTTGAGGGGCAGAAGGAGTCAACACCCCAGCAATTTCAGCTGGTGAACATTCCTGAGCAGATTTGAGTCTTGTTTTGCAGAGCATTCCCTCCCTGCATACCACATTGCTGCTGCCCAGCAGTAACCTTCTGAAGCTCCAGCAGACCCCCAGGTTGTGAAACACAGAGCTGGGTTTGGGTCTGCAGAGACAAACACATCAAGGCCGTTCTGCTTTGTGCACCAAGGCTGCTGGGGTCTCTGCTTGGCTGGGGTGGAGGTGAGGATTGCAGCCCAGTTCCATCCAGCGTGGGGAGCCCAGGGTGCACACGGTGAGCAGCACGACACATCAGCCCTTTGGTTGCTAGCTGGGGAGGCATGGAAATGGTCAGCATTACTTTCTCCAGCAGCACGGAGCTCTAAGACAGCCCAGCACAAGAGGGAGAGCAGAAAGGGGGAGCAGCTCCCCACACAGCTGGCCCAGCAGTTAGCATTCGTGGAAACCCACAGACAGACGAAAGACACCAGAAGCACAGAGGGCCACCCCTGCTGTTCATCACTTGGCTTGGCTCCCTGTGACACCGCACGTGCAGAGGATGCTTCCGGCACAGTTCAGAAACGGCTCAGGGCAGCTCTGCACGCAGCGCGCCCGGCTCCTTTCAACATTTCGACTTGGACTGGATAGTAACCTCGGAGTCTGAGTTCAGGGCTCTGATCCCACCCACCGGTGCTGTGACTCACGGCGCAATCAGCGAGCCGCCTGGATGTTGGTGGGCAAGGAGGAGGGACGGAGCTGGCGGCCGCCGCTCGCACACGCGCTGCTCCGGCACACGGTGATCCGCGCTCCCACCTGCTGCAGGGCTGCAGAACGCCGGCACCGCTCCCAGGTAAAGCTTTTGCCTGACTTTTTTATTCCTCTTGGTTGTTCCACTGCTGAAGGGATTTCTAAGCGAGAGCTCAGAGGGGTCGGTGGGTGGGAGCGTGTCCCGCTCTGCGTTCTGTGCCATCTCCATCACGCCCTGCCCGGAACGCTGGGCAGCCTGGGGACTTCTGCTGGTGGGAGCGGACAGGGGGAACAGCAGGTTAGAGAGGGGGCACGGGGCAGCAGCACTGCCCTGCCTCGGCACGCACCTCTCCCCAGCAGCATCCCCACGAGGTTACTTACTTCTCCCTTACTCCTAAGTAAACTTTTTTCTCCGAGCTGCCTGAGCTCTTCCTCTGAGCACACCAACCCTGGCCCAGCTGCTCTGCTCCCCTGGACCGATACCCAGGCACAGGAGGGGATGTTGCCCCCAGGACCAGAGGGATGCTGTGCCCCAACCCAGCTGTGGGCTTTGAGCAGGAGGCTGAATCCAAGTTTCTCTGCTCTCACTTCTGCAGCTAAAAGTCATGTCCGCCAGCTTCTGTTTTCAGTTTCACCTCTCATGCAGTCATTGAAGAGCAAACTTTTGAAATGCTGGAGGCTGTCTGCCTGTTTCTGCATCACTCTCTGGGCTGTCTGCATTCAGGGGTACCTTGAACACTCCTATACACAGCGCCTCTGCTCTCCCAGGGCTGGCAGCCCTGATGGGATCAGCTCCTGCCTCCCAGCCCCTCTGCTTACCCCACAGGAAGCAATTGCTGCTGTACATCATCAACAGTGCACGCTTACAGCACCAGATGGGAACAGCCCTTTGCTGGGGTCCCCGTGCCCCTCAAGCCCTGCCTGCTCCCCACCACCAAACCTCAAACATCCTTTTTAGTGACAGCAGAAATCCCCTCCCTGCTGCACTGTGCTGTCACAAGCACCTCTTGGTGAACCCAAGTGTTTAATCTCTTGATTAAACACTTCAGCACAGTTTTGGAAAAAGCCGTGACACCTTGCTGTGAGCTCTTTGGGGTCAGGAAATCAGCTTTGCCCATAAGTGACATGTCCCAGCACCTTGCTTCATACTAATGCAGGAGAGGGAGACTTCTCAGATCTGGGGGCCTGGAAATACTCCCCAAACCCACTGCCATGTCCAGGCACATGCCAAGCGTTCTCTCCTGTCCATCTGCTTTTAATAATTTTGTTACAAATCTATTAAGCCAGAAGAGGGAATACACTAATGGAGAGCAGCAAATGTTACTGGCACTGCAGAACCTGATGCAACCATCCCATCCCCTCCATGCAAAAGTGTTCAAAGTGCCCAAATGTACAATGCCAAAAGAAACGATGCTAAAAGGCGAGGGATGAGGAAGAAGAAGGGAGAGTGAATGAGAATTTCCCGTAGACAAATCACAGCCCCAACCCTAGAGGAGACAATCAGCATTTTAAATGGGAATGAAGCCAATCAAATGTCCACGGGCTTCCACAGAACAGAAAACATCCATTCATGCAGGAATTACTTCAGGAACTGTAAGGTTAAAGTACGAGCTGATGGGGAAGATCGTAGTGTGCTGCAGTAGGAGAAGCTAATGCACTCATGGCTATTAATAGAGTTCCTTAAAGATCAGACTAAAGACACATTTTTGTTTAATAGCTTTCATTAGTGATCTTGATTCAGAACACGGAAAGTTGCTAAGAAAATGTACTGGTGAGAATCTTGGGAGAACTGCTGAACCAGACAAGGGACTACAGGAGATGAACCAAAGGTTCTAAAATTCAACAGAAACCAAATGGCTGTCACAAGTTCACACGCTTAGGGACCAAAGGCAAAGGTCACTGCCCCAAGCAGTGAAAATAGCTCAGAAGTATGTGGCTATTAGGGAGCCCAGGGTGTCTGTAGGAACACAGCTGGCACCTGACCAGCTCTCGCAGCAGTAGAGTCCGTCAGAGCCCCGTATTGCTGGGAAAGGAACTTCAGGGCGACCCAGCAGCATTGCACTGCTCAGCTCTCTGCTGTTTGGGGAGAGAGTTTTGGCCAAAAACAGGTCCAGGCCAGGATGCATTGCCATGCAGTGCCACTCCTCTTGCAGAGTTGTGTGCCAGTGGCCATCACCTGGGGAACGTTTCCATGAGACAGTATAGAATATGGGACAGTCTCCCACCAGAGTTCAAGTTTTGGCTTTGCAAGCACCATGCCTGGAACTAGCCCAAGGTGCAGCATCCCATATCCACCCCCACGAGTCCTGTCCCATCCCTTCTCAGCAGAGATGGACGCACCATCCCCATGGATGGCAGCTCCATATCACACTTAGAAATGTTCCTACTTCCTGCCCAAGAAATACAGAGGTCTGCTCCTCGCCGTCAGCTAATGGGAGAAGCAAGATGCAGCAGAGCTCCTCCTGACCCAGCCTGCAGGATCAGCTGCCCCACAGCACGGCCTGCAAAGAGGGCTTTGAATACAGCAGAAGGAGCAGACCCTGCCAGGAGGGTCCTACCCAGCACCACTGGGCATGGGCAGCATGACCAGGTTCCATGCTGTGACTGCGGGCACCACGAAGGCAGCAGAGCCCCTGCCCTGCATCAGTGCTGGGCCAGCAGCACGGCCTCAGCCAAGCCCATGTGAGCTGGCACAGGAGTGGCTGCTGGTGGGTAGCAGAGCAGCCACACGGGAGGCTGTGATCCACCCACTGCATTTTTCTAAGCCTGCTACTCCCCCTATAATTTATCCTGCCATTTCCAGCGCGTTAGGAGCAATAGGAAAAACATTCTTTTCACTTGGAAATACCCTTCTCTGAGAACAACCTGTTCTCCTGGCTGCCATCAGCAGGAAGCACTCAGCTTGTGCCACGATCCTTTGTGCACAAACAAAGAGCTTTCCATGGCGAGAGCCTGCGCTGCAGCAGGAGGCAAGGAGCCACTCTGCCACCTCCCCGTGCCCCTCATCCCAGTGCCCCAGTGTGGGCCACCCCCACGGGTTCACTTCTCCCAGTTCCCCTCGGAGCATCCAGCACCTGTCTGGATCTTGCTCTGGTCAGGGGAGCAGAAGCCTCTAAGCAATGGGAAATCTCCTCCCTGAGCTGGTTGAGCAATGTGGCTAACAGCAGGGATCAGCCCAAGGCATGGGACTGCTCAAAGTGCTGTTGCAGGCACAAAGTTTAAGAAGTTCAGCTGTGAAGCCTCATAAATCACACAGCTGATTAATTTTACTAGATTGCATAAATGGAGTGCACTGCTCCTTCTGGAAAGCTCTTTCCTCATTTCAATCCAGCCCTTTTTTTAATCACAAGCCTGTAGGAACTTCTTTCCTCTGAAACCACCCCTACTCCACATGGGCACTCCAAAGCAACATGCAGCAAGCAGGGTCTGCTGTCCCCAGCTGCCAAAGAACTCTCCAGTCCAGGTCTAAGTGAGCCAGGACACCCAGGGAGGTGCAGAAACCCCATTTCTGGAGGGGCTGCCCAAGGGACTGTTGCCCACTATGACCCTGACCTGGTGCTCTCTTTGCAGGCTGTTCGCAGGTAAAGAAGCTTGGTCCCTGACGAGTACTGCTGGCCATCATCTCTGACCCAAGCACACAGAGTAAGGCAGGCATGAGACCCCGTAGGACCTGACCCCATAGCATCTGACCCTGCTGGGCTTTGCAGGAGAGAAGGGAACAGCTGACACCCACCAGCAGTGCCACGGGAATCAGCTCCAGCCCCAGATGGACCAGGTCACACAAGAAAGTTGCAGGGGCACATCATTCCTAGGTCACGTCACACTCAGCAGACAAGGCTGAATGCGTGAAGGGGACTCTACTGTGATCTCCAAGGCCATCATAAGCCCAAGATTGGTTTGGAAGGAACTCCAGGGCTGCCTGGTAGAGGCTCACCCCAAGCACCTGTAGAGTCACTGACTGCAGAACCATTCCACCCATGCGACTGCACTATGGATCCATGTGGCAACCTCACAAACCCTTCAAAAAACATGGACTTCCCTCTGCAGCTGCTGGTTGGGTCCTGCCTGGCCCTGCTCATCATATTCACTCTCTGTGGTAACATCATTGTGTGCCTGGCTGTCACTCTGGACCGCCGGCTCCGCAGTCTGACCAACTGCATCATCGTATCGTTGGCCATCACCGACCTGCTGCTGGCCCTGCTGGTGCTGCCCTTCTCCGCCCTCTATGAGCTCACCAGCGAGTGGCCCTTCGGCAGCACACTGTGCAACATCTACCTCAGCCTGGATGTCATGCTGTGCACGGCCTCCATCCTCAACCTCTTCATCATCAGCCTGGACCGCTACTTCGCCGTCACCACCCCGCTGCGCTACCAGCAGCTGGTCACCCCATCCCGCGTGGCTGTGGGCTTGGTTGTTATTTGGACAGTTTCACTGATGGTTTCCTTCCTCCCCATCCATCTGGGGTGGAATACCAATGGGACAGCAGTTCAGAACACAACACCCAACTGCACCAGGGAGTGCAAGCTGGAGGTGAACTCTGTGTACGGACTGGTGGACTCCTTGCTCACCTTCTATATCCCTCTGGTCATCATGTGCATCACCTACTACCGGATATTCAAGATAGCGAGGGAGCAAGCCAAGAGGATAAACCACACATGGTGCTGCAGCAGCAACAGCCCCATGCCACCCATGGTGAAGGAACACAAAGCCACTGTGACGCTGGCAGTGGTGATGGGAGCCTTCATTATTTGCTGGTTCCCCTATTTCACAGTGTTCACGTACCGAGGGGTTTGGGGGGACGGCAGTGTGAAAGGCACACCCATGTCCATCGTCCTCTGGCTGGGCTATGCCAACTCAGCACTGAACCCCATCCTCTATGGGACGTTCAACAGAGATTTTCGGGTGGCATACCAGCACTTGTTGCACTGCTGGAGGACAGGGGACCCCAAGAGCTCCCTACAGAAGGGTCAGCCCCGGGGCAGGAGCTTGGATGGGCAGGAGGGGAAATGCCTGAAGCTGGAGATGAGGAATGGGAAGGGCATCTTGCTGGCAGATGGAGCCCTGCAGAGGTAAGAGCTGCCCCACAGTCACACTGCTGGTCCCCAGAACCCTGTCAGCTCAGACACCCAACACTGCCGCTCTCAGTCTGCCCCAGCAGTGAACACAGCCAACAGCAAGTTCCATTCCCATTTCTGGAGCAAAAATAGCTAAAATAAGGTTGGAAAATTTTCTGGGAACACAACCACACATAGAGCCATAAATCCCCCCCGCAGTACCCCAAGCACCACCAGGGGCAGGACCTTGGAAGGGGTGCAGTGATGGGGAGGACGGATAGGATGCAAGCACTGTGCCCAGGAACCCCCATCTCATGTAGTCAGCCTGCACCTCCTTGGCCCACCTGAGAACACAGACACATGCTGTGCCATGATGTGAGCTGCTGCTCCCAGACCCTAATCTAACCTCCAGGCAGCAGCAACTGATAACCCCCTGATAGCCCAGAAACTTTCCATCCCACCGATAAGCTGTTCTTTCCCTCCCTGCTGCACGTGCCCTTGGTGCCGTCCCCAAAACAGAGCGTGAAGCCTTAGGAAGGAGAAAGCAGGGAGGTGAAGCAGAGGGCAGAGTGGTGCGAAAGGCTCAGCCTGCGAGTATCACACTCAGGCACATGCCTGGCTCAGTAAAGATGCTTCTGCAGACACAGACGGGGCTGGAAGGAAACCTGTGCTGCTCCTGTGGAGCACCACGTGGGATTTTATTTAACTAAATTGTTTGTGCAATGCAAAACACCAGCTGGTTCCTGCACAGCATTACAGCCCGTACCCAGGGGAGGGCAGAGAACCCTGGGGGGATGGCCCAGCAATAGGCTGGATCAGGTGCTGGGCTCAGTCAGTTGGGCAGGTTTGACTCCTTCCTAACACTCAAGTGCATTTGAATGAGACCGGCAAAAAGGTGAGCATCTCTCACCTCCTTCCAGCAGGAGAAATAAATGTTTCCTCTCTGGATTTGTGCCCAAATGAAGCAGAACATTGGAGGGAAGAGGCTGAATAGCAGGCAGTGCTGCAGTGGGGCACATATCGTGCACTACAGGAAGCAGAGGGGAAGACACAAAGACAGGGATGTTTCTTGACCTTTCTAAATCCAGAGAACTCTTCCCCATACCAGCCAGCATCACTGCTGTGGTTTCTGCTTGTGATCAGATAAAAGTAAATGTGAGGGCTGAAGGTTGAGTTATTGGTTTTACTTTCCCTGTTTATCTGCCTACTCACTTGCCTGGAAATGATGCATCAAGGATGGCGTGGGCCTCTCTCACTTCTCCCCTTCCCCATCAGGGATGCACACGTTGGGTGTCTGAGACCCCAAGACCATGCAGGAATCACCCAAACCCTAACTGCCAGTATCACCCCGAGCTCAGAGAGACATGGTCCCTCTCTTCCAGCCACATTAACAGAACAGAGCAGCACATATCACTCACAAACCCATATCTCCCTCCAAATAAGACTGGAGCCTAGCAGAGCTCTGCCCAGAGCAGCCCCATGGGGTTGTTCAGGGTAAAGCATTTTGAAATGTTGCCCATTATGTTTTTTCCTGTTACGAAGCAAAAGGAAAGACTAGCAAACATACTAGAGAAACAGGAATGGTCTCAGGAGATGTCAAGCATAGGAACAGGAGTCAGACCCATCACTTCTATGGAAAAAACATGCAGCACAGCCATTGTGACACAGGCAGCAATTCCAGGGGTAGTGGGGAGCATGCAGGGCTGCAACTCCTCACCCCCTGCCACACATTAAACAGGGAAAGAACTCACTAAAGAAGCAGAAATGGAAAGCAGAGTCCTACTCCTGTGGGACAGGACCTGTCCCAGCCACCACATCCTGTTCCTTCCCATGGGCTCAACCCCATGCAGGCAGCAACTGGTGTGCGCAGAGCAAAGCCCGCAGGCTCACCCATGCTGGCACCAGCCTATCTCCTCTTTACATCTCCATGTGCAATTTCACTCTTTCCAGTGACAGAGCTTTCCCGTGAGCCTCAGCCACCCCATCTCCTGGCCTCCGCTCCCAGCTGCCCTCTTCCAGCACTCTGCAAGGAAGAAAGGACACAGCTGGACTTCCCTTGGGGAGAAACCTGAGAGCAGAGGCAAGGGCTGCAGGGTGAGTAGAGGGCTGGGGTTTCAGGGTGCTGCTGCGTTTAATGAATGGGAACATCTATTGCATTTTTCTGGGTCCAGCCATCCCATCCCAAAAGTCAGCAGTGCAGGGAGCAATAGCACCAGAGGTACATCCTCCCTCTGGGAGCATTTGCTCTCCAAACCCAGGGCAACTACCCAGAGCTGCCCCTCCTCTTTCCCCAGCTGCTTTTGAAGTGTGAGAGTACAAAAAACACTTCACGATGCTCTGGAAGAGACACTGCCAGCTCCCCTTGCCCATGCTGGGAGCAGCCACTCTGCACTGCAGAGGCAGCTGTGCCAGATCACAGCTTTCCAGCACAGTTTTTTTTCAAGCCTACATCAGCGCCATGAGTCACCACCTGACTGGACTCCCAAGTTGGGAGACTGACACTGGGCATCTCCACTGCCCCCAGCAGCACTGGGCAGAGGATGTGGCAACTTGCCCCCGTGCAATGGGATGCCTCTGAGCTCCTGAGAGCCACTCTGCGCAGCCCTCCTCTTCAAGGACTGGGCAAGGTCATCCCGACCTGCACACACTCTCTCTTAAACACTGCATGCTGATAACGTGGGCTCTCCTGTATTGATTGTGCCCAGGGGGTGAAAAATGAGGTCAACCACACGTTGCAGCTAGAGGAGCACATCCCAGCCAAGGTCATGCTGACAGCCCCACGTATGGGGCCCCACTGGGGTGTGACATACAGAAGTGACAGCATGGGGAGGGCACAGCACAGAGGCTGCTCCCGAGGGGACAAATTACCACCACCCCGAGCCCCAGGCAGGAGGTGTCTCAAGCCTCCTAGCCAGCAGGACAGAGGGACAGCCAATTCCAGTTGTGCTCTTTGTGCTTTCCCTCTGTGATGCTCACATCTTCTGAACAACATTTAGTTTCCCCAAGGCAGAGACAAGATGCCAATCTCCCCCAAGAGATTTCTAATCTAATTGGCACAGCAAAGCACGGTTGATCTATGCAGAGGTTTGCAGATCTGAGGTCCTGCTGCGGCCACAGATTTCCTCTCTGTGACATGGAAGTGAGGACAGGAAATATCACCTCATGTGAGGACCCATCTGAATGCAGGAGCCAAGCAAAGCCCCGCAGCACCCACCTGCAAAGGAGGGAGAGGAAGCACTCTGAGGCAGAGCACTGCTGACCCCAGCACGCCCACGAGTGTCACTTTGACTCAGTTATTTGCAGATGTGACAACGCAGCCACTGCTGCTGGCCCACAGAGAGGGGAAGAGCGAGCAGAAAAAGCCACAAAGCAACATAGAGCTCCTCTGAGGAGTGTCAGAAGATGAGCTCTGGGTGCCACTGCTGAGCTCTGCCCCTCAGCAGCTCTCAGCACACAGCTGCACTCTGCTGAGAACATCCTCACACCAGAATCCTCATTGCACCGCAGACCCCCTCAACCATAGCAGATGCTTAATGCAGAATCCCTCATGCCAGGGAGAGGAATGTGGGGCAAGCAAATGCTTGCACGTCCTTTGAATGGTCTCTCTGTTCCCCTGTAGGATCCTTGTGCTGGTACGTGGCACTTGCTGTCTCCCCAGATGATGCTGGAAAGGCCTCTGCCTGCTCACATTTCTTACCGGGAGCACAGAAGAACCTCCACCATCAGGGGCCGTGACACCTCCAGCACTGAGCCCTACGTTAATGGGTTGAGAGCCAGGGCGTACCCCAGCAGGTCTGAGGTTCAGCCACAGCAGGGAAAAGGAGATGCAGCCGCAGCCTCGATGCCAGACAGCCCAACTCAGGACCGGCACTACGCCCCGCGGTGCTCCGTCAAAAGGAAACATCCACCTCCCAGGGGGGCCCGGCAGAGGGGGTGAGGTGACAGGAGAGCTATCGACGGCCACGATCACAACACGCGCGGCCCTGCAGCATCCTCACGGGGCAAAGAGGAGCCCAACTCGGGGGTACTGGGGAGTCCCCTGCTCTCCGTGGGCTTCACAACCTCAGCCCCACGGCAAGGAGAGAGGATCCGGAGCCACGGGAGCCGCCGAGCAGCGTGGCTGCCCCCAGGCTCTTTTCCCCCGCAGAGCTCAACGCCAAGCCTGCAAAAACAGGATGTCTGCGAGCGAGCCTGGGCAGAACTCAGCCATACAAAATCCCGTTTAACACAGAGGCAGAACAGCACGATTGATTTCTCCAAGCACACTCTACCTCGAGAAGAGCTCCCCCTAACCCCCAACCCCCTGTACCCCACCCCTTCCTCTCCGCCGCGCTCACACAACACAACCGCAGGGACGAGCGCACCGCTCCCAGAGCCGGGGGGCAGCGAGGGCAGCAAAGCGGCTCCGGGCCCCCCGGGCCGGGCAGCATTACGGGCTCGGAGCTCCCCCTGCTTGCGGCTCCCGGCCCGACCCTCCCTGTCCCGGAGCACCCCCAGCCGGGGCCGGGCCAGAAACACCCGCGGCATCCACCCTTCCCTCTGAAACTATAGGAGGAAGATCTGACAAACGCACCCCACCCAAAGCTGTGCCACCTATGATAACGATTAGAGACTGATCTAATTGCAAAAATAATTGCAATTGAAGTGTTTAATTACCATACTAAGCAGGAAGAGCCGCTCCCGACTGTTTCGGTAGCACTCCCGATCCATCAAACAAGGTTTGGGGCTTGTTTGGGGTTGGTGTGTGTTTTCTTTTTTATTATTATTAGATTGCAGCCCTGGGGGGATGAAGAGATTTACTAATTAGGGTCCTGGAGAACAGCCACCAACTTGCAAACACTTGTTTTTAATTTCAATACTAACGAGGCTGGAAGGGGGAGAAATCCAAAATGCAGAACAGCTGTGTGGTTGCAGCCCTGCAGCCCCTCACCACGCTGGCAGAGCCCTGGTGCTGCTTGGTGTGATGCCGTGGGGCTGGGTTTGTGCTGTGCCAGCACCTGTCACCCTCTGATCCCATCCACTGCAGTGACAGCTTATCCAGGTCCTGGTGCCAAACCCTGCAGAACAACAGCAGGAAACTTCTCCAGGTGGCATTTGGTTTTGTTCTCTCCTATATGTGCAACAAAAGGGGATTAAATTCTTTCTCCAAGCAGCAATTCTGAGAGGGAGGAGAAACCGCTTAGAAAGCTCCTAAGCAACATCTGCTTTCTCAGATAGGAATATCCCCCTGCCAGCCAAGTGCCCAGGGACACCTCCATCCTTTGGGCCCTGTAGGGATGCAACCATTGCTCTGGGTAGGACCCAAAAGCACAGAAGGGGCTATGGAGAGGGGACGTAGGAGCTGCTGTAGGGCACTCTGGTGTGTTCCCCTCCCAGAAGTGTAGCAAAGGACTGTTTTATCTCTTTTAGATAAAAGAGAATCATCAGTAGAAGAAGGGGGAAAAAAAAGTGTTGGGGTTTTTTGGGCTCTCATGTGATTAAACACAGAGGAGATGGAAAGGTAGCAAGCAGCCCCAAGCAGACAAAAAAAAAAAAAAAAAGAGAGAGAGAGAGAAACTTTGTTTTAGAAATCCCAAGATTTGGTTTTCTTCAATAAAATGCATTGGAGGTCACCCACCAAACAGTTCTGGCTCTGAGGTCTCAGGTCTCTGTACCGTGGGACCACCGGGCACATGGCTGTGGGACAGGAGAGGGGACAAAGCCACTAGAGGGCACAAGTAGGACAGAAACACGTCCCCATTCAGGTCACCTGCCGCCCCACAGAGCAGCAATGCTGGCGGTCCCCAAAGTTCCATGTCATCCCCCGCCCCAAAGCACCTCCCAGAAGTCTGCCCTTAGCCCAGGTCCCAGGGGTTTGGTGTCCCCAGGCACCACGATGACACCACTGCTGCATGATGAAGATGTGCCCATCCAGCCAGCCACTGACACCCCATGTCCTCAGTGAGGAAGGCACAGCTGTCCCCAGCCCAGGACCCTGCATTCCCTGGCACTGGCAGTCCTCAGGCTGGGGGCCAGCAGCCCCACACCACGTGCCCATCACCAACCCAGCAAATGCTGGATCCATGCAGGGTGACACCGCACAGGCAGAGTGATGTGATGGCACAGCGGTGCTGCCCGTGTCTGTGGGGTGGTGATGGAACAGGACATGGCACACGGTGTGTGTGCTGCTGCTCCCTGCAGGCATTGGTGTGAGGATGGGTGGATGCAAACCCAGCGCCCGCAGCCCCTGCAGCAGCACCATTACGCAGGGCTCTCCATCCTTTTTGCTTAATGGGAGGCGTTTTTCTGTCTCATTTCCTTTACCCTCAGCACTGAAACCGCCTTTCTGCAGCAAAACAAGCCAAGCCAGAGAAATCCTTCTCCCTCAGCAGCTCACAAAGTCCCCTCCCTCCGTGGCAGCAGCAATGCCCATCGCACAGGGCTCCCTTTCTCTCCTAACATCGCACTGCAGTGCAATAAATGATCCCCATCTCCTGCACGTCCCCAGGCTGTGCTGACCCCAGGCTGCATTTGGGTCATTTGTCCTCATTCCTGGGGGAGAGGCAGGCTCTGTGCATGGCCCCATTGCACCGCTGTGCTCACCATGCAGCTTCAGTGGGAGGGGGGACCCCATAGAGCCCACATGCCCTGACCAGCAGACCCCCCACCCTGGTTTTAATGGTCATCATAGAACCCTCTGTGAGTGGGAGGATGGGACTCACACAGGGGATGGCAGCAAGGGCACACGGGGACACCTCGGGAACAACGGGGACAGGCGTTCCGACGGAGCTGCGGGGTTTTGTTCTCGCCGTTGATAGATCTGCAAATAGCTCAAAAGGAAAAAGGTCCCCTCGGCCCCCCTCCACCATCCCTCCCTGAGGGCTGTGCGCCCGCTCCGCTCACTCAGCCTGCTTCGAGGTTGAGCTTAGTCCACTGCTCTTCCCTGGGTGATTAGGCCCTTCATTAAGGGGCTGGTTTCCCCCCAGGGCCCTCCTGGTGCTCAGCTCAGATGGGGCTGCTGAAATCCAGGCACCCCCAGGGCCCGGGCAGGAGTGAGGGGCATACAGGTCCAGGGAGGGAGAGGTGAGTTTGGTAACACAATGATGTTTCATTGAGGTTTTATCTCTGCGACTGGCAATGTGCTCCTCCAGGAGATTTAGTGGGAAGTTGCCTGGTCCCTGCCAAGAAGGCTGTTTTTCGAGAGAAAGCACATTATGCATCAAAGTTGAAATTCAAATCCTTTTTCCTCCTCTCCTGGCATTTATTTATGAGGCTCCGGATGTTCCTCAGAGAGTCTTTGTTTGCAGAGTGCCCCCAGCCTTCCCCATACCCGTGGTGCAGGGGCTCAGGGAAGGCTCCAGAGATATCGCACAGTGCTGAACTTCCCTCTGTTGTTATTCTCCCCATTGGTGAAACTGTTGCTGGGCAGGCAAGGGGCCGGCATTCTGCTGCAGCCCTCGTGTGCTGGGGGTGCCTTTAACCCATGCACAGTTCCAGAAATCCCCCACAGCTGCAAGCTTTCCCTACTAAGGGATTCTCCCTGCCGTATCCAGGTTGCTTTGTGCATCTCTGCCCCCCCCAAACCCTCCCATCCCCAAAATCAGATGTGCTCTGCGTGTTGCATTCTGGATGGGGCTGGCAGAGATCTTTAATTTTTTTTTTTTCCTAGAGATGCTCTCATTTGCCTATTTAGGGGGGAAGTTAGCAGCTCCAGGAGCAGCCAGAGGCTCCTTCCCCCCCAGCCCATCCCAATGCATCAGGACAGGCCCCATGTCTGCAGCCACTAGAAAATCACACTCCATTTCCGAAAGGGAAAGCAAAGTGTAAATCTCTCTCTCACACACTGCAGTGAGAAAAGTGGTGAAAGCTTTAATTTCAGAGCTGGGAGAGAGAGAGACAATAATATGCCAGCAGCACCCTGATCGCCGGGGAGGAAAACATCAATTCTGGCCTTATAGGAACAGCCACTGTGATTCCCCCCTCCCTGCCTGGCACCCAGAAAGCAGCAGGATTTCCTGCCGACCCCACAGCCCTTACCTCACTGCTCTCCAGCTGTGGTTGGGGGAAATTGAGCCGCCTCCCGCTCCTGGTGACAGTGACGGTGATCTCACAAGTGTTGGCCCAGGAGCGCGAGGACCGGAGGGAAGAAGAGGCAGCAGGAATGAAAGGCAGTGATTTCCCTCCCCCTCCAGCAGAGGTCTGCGTTCAGCACGGGCCGGCCGCTGTGCTCAGCGCTCCCAAAAGGTTTTCTTCATAAGAGGGAGCAAATTCCACGATTTATCAAGGGGAAATTTGCATTTGAAATATTCCCCGACTCCAAATGTCATCCGGCTTGATCCCCCCCCCCCGAGCTTGAACAAATGCAACTGAGCAGGGAGGGGATCAGACCAGTGGGGAGAGAGGAAAAGCCTAGAGTTAAAAGCATCCATGGATGCTCGATCAAGGATATGAGTGAGCACGGCCACGGCCTTCCCCTCTTCCACCCTCTGTCAGGCAGGACATGCAGGAATGGGTATCGGAGGCTCAGCCATCAAGGATTAAGGATTTCGTGTTTGAGATTTTATTTACACAATAAGACTTAAGTGATTGCTGCATGAAGTGTAGGTGGATTCTCTCCGATGCCTGCAGAGGGATTAGTGCCTATAAGGCAGCCAGAATGAGCTGAAAATTGGAGAGATCAAAGTGCAGGAAGAGGAATCCCACATTCTCAGTGATTCTGAAGGGAACGGAGAGAGATGGCAGTGGTCAAGGATGGGAAGATTGCAACTGGTGGCGTAGGAGAGATGCACACAGTGATTCCCCCTTCCCCATGTTGCTGCAGACGCCGGGCACATCCTGGGGACAATCAGCACCCAGATATTTTCCATCCTGAGGCTGAAGAAGTTCCATAGATAGCCATGAGCTCCTGGGACACCTGTGCCCACCTGAGCTCCCCCAAACGTGCCCCCACTTGTGGCTCAAGGTGCCAGCCCACAGTGACACTGCAAGAGGGACACGCATTTCCCCATCCCCACAGCACCCAGCCCGCAGCCAGGCTGCACACATCAGCCTTCTCCTCTTGACCTTATTAAAACTGCCGGGCTGCCATGGGCTGATTCGATTAAACAGGGCACAGAGCACCATCCCCGGCGGGCAGGAGGGATGGATGGTGAAGAAACGGAGTCCTTTCACCCCCGGTGCCTCATTAGCTGCAACTGCTCCAGCTCCAGCCACGCTGTGCTCTGCTTTGCACAGAGGCAACTGTGAGCCCCAGGGGTGCACAGCACTCTGCTGACCCCACAGCACAGCCCCATGGGGGGCTCATAGGCTGAGAGCTGTGTGCAGGTAGGTGGGGGTCCGGCAGCAGCAGCCCACAGACAGCAGCAGGGCTGCACAGCTGCAGGCAGCTCCTTTCCTCCTCTGCATCTGCAGTGACCGACTTTGTTCCATCGCTCGTGTTGTGCAGGGGTGTGCGCCCACCCACACATCCCCCAGCCCTGCACTTGGCGTGGGACAGAAGTTTCATCCCCATCGCTTCCCGAGATCCGCAGGCAGGCGGGTGTTCCTTCGCCGCAAATGAACCCGCAACGCTTTGGAGAAGGGCTAATTCCCTCCCTCCTTAATGCATGGAAGCTTCTTACGCTAAATCTATACAGGCACAATTAGCATTATTCATATTCCATATGCTCCGCTCCCTGGTGATGAATATTAATCCGTTCCCCGCTCCCAGGCATTGGAGATAACGGCGCTGCACTGCGCCGCAGCAGCGGGGACAGAGGGAACATTGCTGCAGGTGGAGGGAGTTTCCTTCCCGTGTCGAGAAGGGGGGACTCTGCAGTTCTGAGGGGGGCTGCAGGACTCCTGCAGTGGGCTAATGCAGAGCAGCCTCTCTGGATGTCTCAGGTTTGAGATTTCAGGACTCACAACAGCTTTCAAAACCTATGGTGCTGTGCAGCAACTGCACACAACCCAGAGCATCCCATCTGCCCGCCCGTCATCCTCACTCAGGCCAGGGGTCCAAGGATCACAGGAGTGGTGGGGATGGAAGGGAGGAGGCCAAGATGCACCGTGATGCCACACATCCATCTGCATGCTTAATCCATATAGCATCAGGGCCCCCATCTGCCGCATCACGCATCATTAGCTGGCTGGTTTCCGAGGCGGCTCCCAGCAGAGGTGGAAATTGTGCTGGGGGGAGATTGGTTCCCCACTGGCACAGTCACATTTTGGCTGCTCAGCTGAGGCTTTGGGGTGTGGGATGGAGGGGACCCCAAAGTCCCTGTGGGTACTGCACAGCCCCACAGCCTGCAGTCCATGTGCAGAGCAGAGCTCAGCTCTGTGGCGCAGATCCATCCACCCCAATCATCCCCACTGCCCCAGCCTGGAGCACTGTCACCAGGGCTCAGCCCCTTTAAATCCCCGTGATTGCATTATACACCGGGACACCCTACCCAGAAAAATAAGGGAAAGAAATTATTTTCTTCTTGCTGGAAAGCTTGGAGAGCTGCCCACTCCTTGCCAGCCCTCCCACGCACTGCACAGTGGAGGACTGCAGGGCCAGCATGGGCTGGGGGGGCTGGGGCACAGTGGGGTGCCCCTCTGTGCTGGGGTCCCTTCCCTCCACTCCCCGCTCCATCTGTCCTATTCCCGTCTGTTTCTCCTCTCTGCCATCTCTGGGTTGAGATCTGCTCCCGAGGGAGCTCACTGCTCCAAAGAAGCCAAAACTCACCCCAAATCCCTGCTGGAAGCCCCTGGGAAGGAACCACCCCAACCAGCTGAGCTGAGCCGATGTGGGGCTCTGAGGGAGCAGCAGTGAAGGTGCAGTGGGAGAGATGCAGGCTCTGGGGTGCAGGGAGGGAGCCCTGAGCCAAGGTCACTCTCCCACTCTGCTTTCACGCCAGGATGGGTTTTCTCATTACTTACCCAAGCTGTAAATTGTCTAATTTGGAGCACACCATTTATCCCCGATGTGCACTTGAGCAGGCAGATTTTGTTTTCAGGTGTGTGATTAATTTTTTTTTTTCTTTTTTTTTTCCTAAACGTGGTTTCTCTCCTAGGAAACTGCAAACAAACAGCTCTGACCCTTGTGGCCGTTCGGGTGCACATCGGGGCAGGGCACAGCAGCCGGGTCTTGCAGGATGAAAGGAGTGGGAGCTCTGTAACAGCTGTACAAACCCCCGGACTATGCTGCATAACCCCAAAATCCAGCACTGTGCCATGCCTGCCCATCAACCCCAGCACCACCTCCAACCCCCGGGCATCAGCAATGGGAAGCAAGCAGCACTCTCCCTGCTCCCAAATCAATCTGCCGGGAATTACCATTTTTATTAAGACCTAACATGTCCTTGGCTGCTGGGAATGTGATTTGCTCCCGGAATGAGATTACTGCGGTTCCCAAGGAGCCACCATCGGTCTCAGCGACTTCTGCCCTCGTGGCACATCCCCACACGGTGGCACGGAGCAGCACTGTTGTGCCAGGTCCCTCCCGTCCCCGCGCCGAGCTGTGAGAGCTGGGTCACCTGCTGTGAGCGTGCACCCCCCTCTCTGCTGCTGGGGAGTTGTTTTCTGTTCTCCCGGGTGGTTTTTCAGATGAAAGGAGGTGAAAATCACTTCCATTCACTGTGCAGGAGGCCCTGCAGGGCTGCCTTGGTGCGTGATGCGTTTGTGGCTCTCCTAGCGCGGGGCTGGGGGAGGAGGCTGAGCACCGCACTGCCCTTTGTGCTGGGGGACATCCTCCCAAGGAGCTGCTTAGCATTCGGAGCAGGCGCCCGCGTTGTTTCCGGGTAAAAACTCTGAATTTCACTTCAAAAACACATCGATCTTCTGCAGCGTGCCATGAAGGGCAGCGTCTCCTCACCCACTTTCTGAAACTGGATCACAGCAGCACCAGGACCCTGTACCATGGGGCTGGACCTGACGTTCCCCAGCGTCAGGACAGGCAGCCACCTTCTCCCTGGCATCGCTCTGCAATGCCGTGTGACTGCCGCTGCTCATCTGCCCAGCGGGAACGCTGATGGATCTGCCTTGCCTCTCTCTATAAGGGCCCGGCTGCACGCTCCCAGCTTGAGGAGAGAATACTCAACAGCTTCTTTACTTACACGTCACACGAGGATTGTGGTGTCTGTCCTGAGTCCCTCCTCTGCTGCAGCACCCATGGCTGAGCATCCCTCCTGCCCCCACACCCACCGAGGGTGGCACCTTTCCACAGGAGCACATTTCCTGCAGCTGCAGGACCTCTGCTCCAAAGTGTTTGCTTATGGCTAAGTGCAGCTGCCCCAGCACCTGGACCATGAGTGTGACCTGAGAGCCCCCAGCACCTGGGCGGGAAACAATAAGGGCATCTGTTCCCATTAGCAGGGTGAAGGCTGGGGAGAGAAACGACTATTGATTGCTCTGTGAGCTCAGCATCAGGCATGCATGCATGGCATGCAGCCACAATCAATAATGCTAGAGAGGTGCTTGGGCTCTCTGGGGATTCTGCCTCTGCTTGGGGCACAAGGACAAAGGTTGCACCCCGCCAGCACCCAGCACAGTCCTGCAGTGCACAGCCCATGCCGTGCTGCTCCCTCCTCTCCAAGCCCATGTTTCCATCCCGAGGCGGAGAGCAGTGATGCTCCCTGGGGGCTCTCTGCTCACCCCCATGCACAGGGGTACCCAGCTGGAGACCGGCTCCCTGCCTGCTCTCAATCCCTAGGACAGCTGCCTTGGCATCCATGGGACACTCGGACTGGGTACAAAGGCAGGAATTGAGAGAAAAGCTGAGATTTCCATCCTGCCAGCAGAGGATGTCATCAGGGAAGGTGGAACTACACTTCCCAGAGTGCTCCTGGCCCTGCATGCTGCCCGGGAAAGGCGAAGGGACTCCGCTGCCAGCTCCTCCCTGCTCCTGAATTATTCTTATTATTGTTTATTTGTGGTTTTTCTGCACTTAACTGCCTTCCTTGTCCACTTAATCGGGGGATTATTGCCCCACCTGCCCATCCACCAGAGCCCAACTCATTACCGGGGTTTATTTATGAGCAGCACGGCAGCAGAACGCACCCTGCAGCTCCATCTCCTCCGGTGCAGGCAGCTGGAGGCGATGGACAAAGGCAAGCCAGAGCCACTAGCAGCGAGTGTGGCTGTGGGGTGACACAGAGGTGTCCCAGCACCTCCTCCTGTCCTCACGTCAGCGCTGGGCACAGGATGATGCTGCTCCTGGCACAGTGCAGGGGAAGCAGCGGGAGCCTGGCTGAGCCTTAAAGTGCTCTCAGAGCTGGGGAAAGGTCAGCGGCACAGCGCCGTCCTTCTGCTCACACAGAGGGGCGCGGGCTCCTTGGCACGGCGGTGGCAGCTGGGTGACAGCAGGCTGACAATGACAGCATGGCATGGTGGAGAAGCAGAGGGACCCACAGCACCCACAGTCCTTCTTCCCACCATCCCTCCCATCCTCAGGCAGAAGAATCCGGGCAGAATGTGGGGCAGAGCGTGCGAGCCCGCCGATGGAGCGCTGTGATAAATAAATCATGGCACCAAAGCAATCAGAGCTGCCCACTCAGCTGCTTGGGATGCAGTGCCCACACGGGGGATTTGCAGTTGTACCTTCCTGGCCATTGGGCCCACGGCCCAAGTGCTGTTCCTCTGTTTGCAGCCGTGTTTTGCAGCCTCAGCACTGAGGGGGATTGATTTATTCATCAGCAGCTTCAGCCCGCACCATCCCTGCATGAAGGCCGTGACAAGCGGCGGCTGTGTGACAAGCAGCATGGCACGCAAGGCAGTGGGGCTGGCTGACCCCATGCTGCTGTGCCCAGGAGGTGAAGAATGCCATGGGAAGGGAAATGTGAGCATCAGACCCTCACGAAGCTGTGCTGCATTAACGCATGTCCATCCTAGCCCCTTGCAGGGCAGAGAGGAGGGAACCTATTTTCCAAAGGGAGTTCAGCAGTGCCAATGGCTGAGCCTATTGCTGAGACAATGACAAGGGTCCTGGTCCCCATCCCTTTCACTTGCCCTGCCCATCCAACCTCAGATTTTGGAGGTCCCACAGTGCTTTGCCTGTCGGATGGTGCACCCAATACCCAACTTCCCCATATCCCACGTGGCACTCATACAACCTCATGGCCAACAATGGGCTTTGTCCCCATGGTGTGGGACAGCAGTCATGGGAAAGGGACACACTGAGTCTGGGGGAGCAAAGTACTGGGCCCTGGTTGGGGGTAGATACTGAGTGGGGAATTGCTGTAGGAGGGGCGGATCAGGAGGGATGGGGCAGATACTGGGGGAAACTGGTGGGGATCAAGGACAGGAAATGGGGGTACTGAGGGGCACGGGGGGTAGCGGTGGTGACTGCTGGGGGAGATTAATGGGCACCAGGGGCATGGCTGGGTAATGGGAGGAAAGGAGAGGCAGGCACTGCCGGGGGGATGACTACGTACTGGGGGGCAATTGTCGGGGGCGATTGCTGGGTACCGGGAGCAATTACCGGGTACCGGGGGGGGAATCGCCGGGAGCGGGGGGCTGCCGTTCGGGGCATGGGGCGGGCCGGAGGCGGGCACGGAGCCGGCCCCGCCCGGGAGGCCGTGCGGCGGAGGGGGAGCCAGAACCGGGCCCCCCCGTACCGCTAGGGCTCCCGCCTCCCTTCCGGCGGCGGTTCCTTCTTCCCTACGCCGGGGGCGGACGGGGCGGACCGGAGCCGCACCGCACCGCACCGCGCCGCGCTGAACCAGGTGGGTGCGGGGCCGGGAGCGGGGCCGGGGCCGGGGCCGGGGCCAGGGGCGGGCCCGCCGTGCCGCAGAGCTCGGAGAGGGGGGGCCGGGGCCCGGCGGGCGGTTCGGGCACGGGGACCGGCCCGCCGAGCCTCCCGGGGCCGCCGGCTTATGTAACGGGGCGGCGGCCGCGGGGCTGCGGCATGCGGGAAGCGGGATGCGGAGTGCGGGATGCGAGGCGTGGGATGCGGAGTGCGAGATGCAGATGCAGGATCGGGCTGAGCGCTGCTCCCACCGGGTGCCCCCCCACGGCGCCCCGCACGCCTGGGTAGGGGCCGCGCGTGCGGTGTGTGTGGCAGGGAAGGGCTGTCACCGCCGGGGTGTCACCCCCCAGGGCTGTACTGCGGAGGGGGGGCTGCAGAGCGGGGCCGTGGGCAAGAAGAGGAGGCCACCTGCTCCCTCCGCTGCTTGTTCCCTAGGATGCTCCTTGCAGCCTCCTGCCGGGGGGAGCTCCCGGTACCCTGCCGGGCTCTTCCCATGCCTCCCCGTCACCACCTTTCTCTCCATCCTGCTCTCCTCGGCTACACCAACCCCTCTTGGGCCGTCCCCGTTGCATGTTCCCGAGGTGCCATCCTGCTGCATCGACCCTCTGGGGGTCCCAGCACCCCGAGCTCCATCCCCTCTCCTTGCGGTGTCCCCAGCAGCACATGGGGTAGGTGTCTGCTGTGACCCAGGCCTGGCAATATGCTGTGGCAGTGTCACCCACATGGCGGGAGCGTGACCGGGCAGCTGCTGCCCCAGGCACCGGCGTGGTGATTCAGAGCAGCAGAGCAGAGCTGGCGCCTTCGTTCCGAACAGGGCTGATGGCTCTGGGCTTCTCTACAAAGCTGGGGAAGATGTGAGAGCTCAGCCGAGATAAACTGGCACAGAAAAATGTCCCTTGGCTGCGGGCTGAGTGTTTGCTTCTTCGATTGCCTTGCGTGAGAACATTAGTATTGAAATGACCCCAACCAGACAAAGCGATTAACACCTTGCAGCACTGGAGGGTGGCTGCGCTTCACACTTTGGCTCATCCCTGGGTTTCAGCACTGCCTACTGGCAGGCAGAGCCTGCCAGGCCCGGTGCCACACATCAGGAGCTCTTTGGGGACCCGCACTGAGTTTCCCATCGTGATTTTAGCACATGAGCTGAGACCCAGCAGAGGTTGGATACCACCCTCTGTCTGTGGAGAACCCTTTGCTGGGCACCCGTGTGCCCCACTCAGATCAGCAGCAGGTGACACAGTGCCATCCCCACCGAGGAGACCCAGCTGTCCCCAAGGCTGTCCCATCCAGGCACAGGACTGCACAGCCGGCGGCAGGAGCTCTGTGTGTCCCTGGCCAGACCTTCCCATTTGTTCTTCTGCCAGCATCAACCATGAGTTTAAATGCTCCTGCTCCCTCCCTGGTGTTTACTCGCCGGGTGTATTTATAGAGAGCAATCAGGTTGCTCAGCCAGAGTAAACAGCCGCGCTCTCACGTGAGCGCTCCACTCGCCCATCCCAGGAGCTTTCCCTTCCACCTGCCCTGGCCCTGCAGAAGCTCCAGCCACACACCTCTCTGGGCTCTCTGGGCTGTGGCCCAGGTTGCACTCCCCAGGAGTCACTGTTACCTCGCCATGCTGCACATGCCCTCTCCTGCTGCCAGCCCAATCCCTGGCCAACTGTTGCCACTACCTCCTGCAAAAATAACCATCCAATGCTCAGAATCACCCATCACCACAGCCCTGCAGCAGTGGTACCCACCCCTGCCCCGGCCCACAGACAGGAGATTTTTGGGGGCCTAAGGTTTGGTTCAGATGCAGCCCTCTGCATCCTTGCGGGTAGGGAGTGCACTGCTACCCCAACTCTGCTGTGAAGGCATTTTCCCAAAGTGCAGAGGCTCTGTGCCTTCCCACCTCAACACACAGTGCCTGGGCATGAGGCTGCTGCCAGCCCCAAGCAAGTCACACAGGTTCTCCATCCCATGCATCCCCAAGCTGCCCTCTGGCATCCCAGGGGCTGGACAAGACTGGCTATGATCGTAGGGTGCTGTGAACAGAAGGTGATCTCATCTCCATCACTACCTCTGCCCCACATATTGTGGCCATATCCTGCGCTGGGTAAAAGCAGCCCCTCCAGCTCCAAGTACACTGCAGCCCCAAACCAGGGCTGTCCTGATGTGATAGCATCCTCCTTGCCTTTACCTCACCTCTGCCTTGTCTGTGGTTGGCATCTGACTGCCTGGACAGACAGACTCATGGACAGCCAGAGCTGCTGCCTGTCCCCATCTGTCCAGGTAAAATATGGCTCTGTGATCCTGGCCAGCTCTGCTTGTTAAAAAGACAGACAAAAATAAAATAAATAAATAAATAAATAAATAAATAAATGACAGCCCCATCGATCTGGCCCCCAAATCAATGCCTTGTGATGACCCAGCCAGTATGGCCCCCAATACCCTCCCAGGATTGAATCTCCCCACGTCCCCATGCAGGCAGTGCTCAGCTCTGACCATGCTCCAGAGCTTCAGCAAAGAACAGCAGCTGATCTGCACCACAGAACACAGCCGGCACAGCAGGGACTGATCCCGTCCCAGCACAGCTCCTCTCCCTGGCACTGAGCTGCCCAAAAACCCGGCTGCCCCCAGCCTTGGTGCTCTGCATCCCATCCCACCCGGCTCTGACTCTTCCCACATCCCGCAGGAGGCAGCGCTTGTCCCCAGCAAAGGTCACCTTCACGCTGCTGCCAAGCCCTTCCCAGGCTGAGCGCTCAGTGCTGTGCTTCCCAGAGACACAGCTGCCTTTCAGGGGTCTCCATGGGGGTCTCACCGGAGTGTGAAGGGCTGACTGCCTGCTGCTGCGTACCCAGATTCAGCACTGCATCCCCAAGCCTGGTTTTATGTCCCCAAACCCAGCACTTTCTCTCTGAGTCTGTCTCCCCCCCCTCTCCCCTGGGTCATTATTTGCCTACAATTTGCCAAGTCCCCCCCACATCCTGGGGTGCAGGAAAGGAGGTGGCTCTGCGCTAGGACAAATTTATGACATCCCCAGGAACCCACTGCCTGCATCCCACAGCCCATGTCACACTCATGTCGCACTCATGGCACACACCGGGGTGGAACCATGGGGACAGATCACTCGGAGATGATGCCCAGCTCTCTGCACAGCCCCATCCCCAGGAGCATCCCCTGAGCCCCCCCAGCACAATGGGGGCACTCCAAGGACATTCAGCAAAGGGACGAGGAGAACCCCAGGCAGAAGCTTTTCAAAGTTAGGCTGAAGTTGGGCTCCCAGAGGAGGATCTCTCAGACTGCAGCCTTTGTTCGGGGCTTTGTTTGCCTGCTCACTTTAACTCGCCATTATGTCCTCTGAAGAAGAAATTCATCACTTGAAAACTGAGGAATGCAGAGTTAATGCCAATTTTTAAAACCCTCCAAGAGTTGAGAGCCCTCTCAATAATTAATGAAGGCATCCAAACTGCTGGGTGTCTGTCTGCAGCTCGGACAGCAGCAGCCATATCCTCAGTCCAAGAGGGGCACAGACCCCAACGCTGCCACCTCCCTGCCCACCCTGGGCTGGCTCAGTTAGTGCATCATTCCCATCCTCAGAGCTCAGTATCTGGGGCGGCGTGATAACTTTCTTTTGCCCTCTGCCCCAGCACCCTGTGCATTAGGGGGGTGGTCCCCCATCACTGACCCTTTTGCCATCGGTGTCTCTGCAGGCCCGCCCTCCTGCGATGCCCACCCGCCCCCGGCAGCCCCTCACAGCGCTGGTTTAGGTGCTGAAGGCCACGGACACTGCGCACACCAAGGTAGGCTGTGGCTCTGGCAGGGCTCGGTTTGGGTGGATGTGAGGCATGGAGCTGGCGGTGATGTTGCAGGTGGTGCAGGGAGGCAGGGGCAGGTTTTTTTGGTTTGTTTTTCCTTTTTTCACTTTTTTTTTTTTTTTTTTTTCCTCCCTCTGAAAGCCCCCAGATGGGCAAGGTATGAGCCAAACCCCACTGGCAGCAGCCAAGAATGGTTTTCTGGCCACAGCCCCAGCAGCTCTTGGAGTGGCACCATGCCCATCCGGCGTCACACTGCAGCGGAAACCCCATGCGCAGGCGGGCTGGGGGCGGCTTCAGCAGGGGGAGATGGCAGCATCCCTCCTAGCCCCCCTTCAACACAGGGTCCCCCACTCCTAGTGCTCCCAGCATGGTCTCATCCTGCTCCCACCATGCTGCAGCCACCCAGATGTCCCCCCTGCCGCCGCTGAGTCCCCCACATGCAGCCTTCTGCTGCTGTCAGAGGTCCATGGGGCACCTCTACCCCAGAGCTCTCCCATGGTGGGGTTGCCCTCCCGGGAGGGAAGAAGCTCACCCTCCTTGGCACATGCCCTGCTTCCACCCCAGCACTGAGCCTGGGAGAGGAGCTTGGGGGGCACCGAGAATCTTCTCCCCACACAGCTCTGACTTCTTCCACCATCAACGTTGGCTCTGGATGGCTCCTGCCAGGGCCACGGGGATGGTAGATCAAGATGTTCATGGGATGGCTGCTGCCCCAAAGGCAATTGCTGGGGCAAGGAGCGATGGGGTGAGAATATGGGCTGCGTGGGGGTTTTTGTCCGTTGCCCGCACGGTGCCGGGTGCACTGCGCCCAGCTCCATGCCAGCCCCTGCAGAGCTGTGCGGTGTGCGTGCCTGCCATAAATATTGATGGGGCGGACGTGGTGCAAGTGTGCCTTTATACACAGTGCTTGGGATGTGCATGCTGTACAAACCGGAGGAAGCGGTGCGGGTGCAGCACTGAGGCTGAATGTACAGAGGCTGTATAGGGGAGATGGAATTCAGAGCGGGGTGGGAAGGGGCTGGGTGTAAAGCCCCGGCAGTCAGAAAGCAGCAAAGTAAAACCTGCTGCCAGACTGCAGTGAGTGGCAGCTGCTCCCCCAGCCCACTAACATGCAGCCCATGCAGGACGAGCAGCGAGGGGCTGCAGTGCCGCTGCTTAGCCATGCACAGCACAGAGGCAGCGACCGCACAATGCTCTGAAAGCTGCTGCTGCAGTGCACGGCCAGGAGGGTGCTGGTGTCCGTGACACGGGCAGGGCTGTAGGTGGCAGAGCCATGGGGCTGTGGTGGCTGTCAGCCCTGGGAAGGGCAGCAAGCAAAGCTCAAGCACAGGGGACATCCATCCCCCGCATCACTCTTGTACAGGCCACCTTTTAGGGCAGCTCAGGAAGGCAGAGCAGCTGCACCCCTGGGACACTGTGCTGGGAGCAGCTGGAGGCTGCGACTTAAGTCCCCTCCTCACCCACAGCTCCTTTGACCACTGCTGCCCCAGCCCACAGCCAGCACCAGCACACACACAGCTCCTGCACGCGGCCCCCGGGGGATGTGAACGTCCCTCATTGCGTGCGATGCTGCGATCGGCCCCGCCAACCATCTGCTGCAGCATCTCCCCTCCACCCACTCGCAGCTCACACTGTGCCCCGTGGCACGGAATCAGTGGCACCTGGAGCACCCAGCAGCAGGCAGGGCCGGGCTGGGGGTGCCTCGTGCTCCCCTGAGTGACCTGCAATAGCAATGCCAAAGGGCTGCGATAGTGATGCAGCCAGCTCTGCAATATTGATGCTGATGGGTCTGTGGCTGGAAAGCAGGGAACAAGAGCACGGTGTGGTGGTGACCCTGTGACCCTCTCCATGTGTCATCACCGGGTTGGCAGGGCTGTCCCTGCCCTCTGCGTGCCCCAAACCACACTCAGATGCTGCACTACGAAGGTCAGCTCACGATGCTGCAGCATGCGTGGTCCTGTCCCTATCCCCGGCCTTGTCTCTGCCAGGTGCCAGCCCCGAGGGGGCCGGGACCACTCCGCAGAGCTGCAGCTGCCGCTGCTTTGTGCCTCCTCTCCCCCGTTCCCCGCCGCTGTTTTTGTTTTGTTTAAGAGGCCGGGTTACGAATTTTAAACAGGCTCCTGAAAAACCCAATTACCTCCAGAAGACAACCTGATAAAAGCCGCCGAGCCGGCACGCTGCGCATCGCCTCGCGTTGCAGCCGAGGGAAAACCGACGTAACAAAGCCTTTGCAAATGGAGTTAACCACTTTTAATCCCTCAGTGCGACGCGGAGGGCCAAGCGGTTTTTTCTGCAGAGATGGGGGCGGGGAGAGCGTAAATAACCCGACGGCATGGCGCTGCTGGGGGGCAGTCCCAGAGCTGCGACTGGGAGCAGTCCCTGGGCGCACTGGGAACTGCTGGGGGGAGGACGCGCTCAATGAGCCGAAGCATCTCCAAAGATTGAAAGACTCGAGGACCCATCCCAGGAACAAAAGGAGGCGTTTGTCAGGCGCTGAGAGACGGGCTCGTTAATTCCTCCTGGCTGTCACACTTATCTGTAATGAATTTGTGCTCCGCTGTATTATTTTTAATACAATAGGAGCGGTGCCGCCCGCCCACCGCCCGGCTGCCGGGAGCGCTGACGTCAGCGTGCGGAGCGGGGTGCTGCAGGACGGACAGACGGATGGATGGACAGACCAAGGCCTGTCCCAGCACTCACAGCAGGGTTAGGTGCTGAGGCAGAGGGCATTTTTTCCATGATGGAGGAAAACAGTGCGGTTGGTCAGAGTGGGAAGAGGTGGAAGGCGCAGGGAGCAGTGAGCAGGAGGGTTGTGTGCTGGAGTGCTTTCCCTGTGCCAAGGCTGTGCTGTGCATGGCAGCAGAAGGGCAGACATGGGGTTCCCCCAGCGCTGTGTGCCCCACAGAGGGGCTATGGCCGTGAGCATCCCTGCAGGACTGCAGGGCCTCAGCTCACCGCCAGCTGTCCCCACAGCCAGGCTCAGAGTCCCACTGATCTGCAAAGAGCTCGTTCCCTTCCTGATAACCCAGGGCTGGATGGATGGGGCACTGGCTCTGCAGGGCGGTGGGACATTCACGTGGCTCTGGCACCTGCACACTCTGAGCTCTGCCCCAGCCATAGGAGTACGGGGGCCACAAGGTCATTGCAGATCCCCAGCATCTCTTGGGGAGTCAGTCCTACAAATGTGGGACTGGAAGCTCTGTGTGGCTGCACAGCCCACAGCGATGTATCAGGGACTTTGAGAAGTCCCACAACACCCCACAGCTCTGCAATTAGTCACGGTGGGGTCATTAAAGCCTGGCAGGTGTGCAGAGGCTCCCCGAGGAGGTGCGCGGTGCTGAAGGGGTCACCCCCTTTGGGTGCGGGGTGCAGGGACGGCTGGGGGCTGCTCGTGGTGGCTGCGGTTGGGAAGTGCCTGGCTGTGCCACGGATTGCGGAGGTGAAGCATTAACAGACGCCGGGGGGCTGCTCCCCCCATCCCTTCGCTACGGGATCGGGGGGTCCCGGCGGGGGCAGCGTTTCCCCGGGGGCGTCCCGCTCTGTGGATGGGGGGTCCCGTAATCCCTTCTTTTCCCCTCTTCCGGGACCGAGAGCGGAGCGGGGCTGGGGGTGTCGCCCCGGGCGGGCCCACGCGTGCGGCGGGGGGCGGGCGGAGGGCGGGCCGCGGCGGGGCGGGGCGGGGCGGGGCGGGCGGAGCGGCGGCGGCCGAGAGCGGCGGCGGAGCCGGTGAGTGCCGGTGCTGAAGGGACAGCGCCGCCGCTGCGGCACCGGGCGGGGCGAACCGCATTCACCGGGGGAGGAGTGGGCGGGAGGGGGGGTCCCGCGTTCCCCCGGCGGTGCCGCGTCCCCGTGTCCCCTGCGGCCGCGGTGCGTCCTCCCCCCCGTCCCGTGTCCTCCGTGTCCCCGCGCTCCCGCACCCGCGGTGTTCCCCGCATGTCGCGTTCTCTCCTTCAATGCGTCCTCCGTGTCCGTGCACCCCAACATCCCGCGGTGCCCCCGCGCTCCCCACCCCGTGTCCCGCTTCCCCCATTTTCCGTATACCCTTTCTGTCCTCGGTGTCCCCTACGCACCCTCCCCCGGGCGCAGGAGGGAACAAACTTCCCCGGCCCCCCCCGGCTGGAGGGACTCTCCCCATTGCCGGGAGTCCCGGGGAGCTGGGGGAGATCCGTGGGGCTGCGGCACCCAGTGGGCACACGCACGCTGCAAAGTGCACACGCAACATCAGCACAGCCCTCGCCCACGCACAGGGCACGCAGGGCGCGCACACACACACACAGAGCACTCCTACATGCACACGCAGTGCACACGCAGCCTGCAATCCCACCCGCGCGCGCACACAGCGTGCCAGCAGCCTGCAACACCCCCACACGCACGGCACAGGCTGCAAAGCAGTGCGCACACACACCCCCGTGCTGTACACACATCCAGCATGCAGCCCATCAGTGTGCAAACACACGCACCCAACGTGCAAACACAACCCGCACACCTGTATACACACGAGCCCGTGCACACACAGCTTGTGAACCCACAAACTCAAACGCACAAACCTTGCAAGCAGCCTGCAACCCCCCCGCAGCGTGGCCACACACAGCTCCAACCCCATGAATCTGTACACATGCATATAGCCAGACATATACACAGCTCTGTGAATGCACCTCCTGTGCACACACAGCTGCACAGCTGTGCAAACATGCATGGAGCTCACAAACACGCACGCCTGCAACCCCAAAGAACAGTCCCGACCCACCGGCAGCCTCTTCTCCACCCACCTGCAGAGCCCAAGCACCGCAACACACGCACATGCACACAGGGTCACGCTGTGCTCCCCAGGCTGGCTCTGCCCCCACTATGCAGGGGGACGTGCTGGTGGCAATGTGGGTGCCTCTCCAGTGGTACTCGATGCTCCTGTGCCTGTGCCACCCTGTGGCGGGCAGCACCAGGCTGGGAAATCCACCTGAAGCCGAGCCCCTGTGTGCCAGGGCAGTGGGGACCTCAAGCTTGGCGTCCCCGACCGCGTCCCTCTCTCTGTGCCCAGGTGGCCGTGGTCGGAGAGCCCGGACAGCAGTGGATGAGCGCTGGGCACTGGCATAGCCACACGCACACACCGGCACCATGGACTTTGTTATGAAGCAAGCACTGGGCGGTGAGTGGGGAACATCTCCACCGGGAGCAACACTGTGGGGTGACAACACACCCAGCATGGAGTCGGGGAGGGCCACCGCGGGGGAACGAACGGCTGCCAGAGCCCTACAGGGCTCCCGTCGGTGGTGCCGGCAGCGCCTGGCGGGGGAATCCCAGCTCTCCCGGTAGTGTGGGATTCCCCAGCAGGTCCCCTGGGTGCCAGTGCTTGAGCTGCCAGCGTCTCCCCCGGCTGACGCTGAAGTAGGGCAGTGCTGGCAGCCCGCGGCACTCCCCGTCCCTGCAGCACCCAGAGCCCAAGCACAGCCGGTTGTGGCGCGGGTGGCACAGGGGATCAGGGGACCCCGGGCTGTACTTGCAGGCTGGCTCCCTGCCCAGCTTGGCTTTGTGGAAGCTGAGGTCCCCTGGGCACTGGCTGAGAGTGTCATGCTATGCAGGGGCCACCAAGGACATGGGCAAGATGCTGGGGGGCGAGGAGGAGAAGGACCCCGATGCGCAGAAGAAGGAAGAGGAGAGGCAGGAAGCGCTGCGCCAGCAGGAGGAGGAGCGGAAAGCCAAGCACGCCCGCATGGAGGCTGAGCGGGAGAAAGTCCGGCAGCAGATCCGTGACAAGGTGGGCAAGCAGCTCCCCGTGCTGCTGGGGGGATGGGAGTAAGAGGTGACAGGGTACAGCACGGGCACTGCGTGCTGCCCGCCCCGCTCAGGGTCTGTGTCCCACAGTATGGGTTGAAGAAAAAGGAGGAGAAGGAGGCGGAGGAGAAGGCAGCGCTGGAGCAGCCGTGTGAGGGCAGCCTGACGCGCCCCAAGAAAGCGATCCCGGCGGGCTGTGGGGACGAGGAGGAAGAGGAGGAGGAGAGCATCCTGGACACCGTGCTCAAGTACCTGCCCGGCCCGCTGCAGGATATGTTCAAGAAGTAACAGCACCACCGACCCTGCCATGGGGTTCTGGGGCACGGGCGCCCTCCTCCCTCCCTCCCCTCCATCAGTTCCCTTGGCCCCAGGGGGATCCCTGCATCCCCTCTCCATCTCCTGCCCCTCCCTCGTCCCCCAACCAGACCAAACCATCCCATCCTGTCCAAGCAGGGCCCCCCGACCACGCCGTGCCAAAGGGGAGAGTCCCTGGCCGGACAGGGCGAACCGGGACCAAATGCACTGATGTATCCTGGCAGCGGGCTGGGGGCACCCCAGGCCCCACCGGACCCCGGGGCAGCTCCCCGTGCCCTCAGCCCTGCCCTTCTGCCCACATCCCCCCCTCACCCACCTGCCAGGGGGCCCGGGCAGGCCTCCGTGTGCCTGCCCTTGTCCCCAGCACTGCCATCCCCAGCCCCATCCTGCCCCGGGCCAAGCCCAAAGCACAAAGCCAGGCGCCCTGCCCGCAGCTCCCCCAACCCTGATCCCCGGGCACGGGGGTCCCCTGGGGCTGCCCGGTGTGCCGCAGCATCGGGGGGTTGGAGGGGACCCCCTTCCCGCATCTCTGGCCCCATAGTTAAAGCCATATCAGTTAGACTGCAATACTTCAGCACCGGGAGGAGCAGGCGCCGCGCTCCGCCGACCGTGTATAAAGGCGCGTGCGGGGCAGGGACCCCCCTGCCTCGTCCCCCTGCCCCGTCCCCGCTGTCCCCACCGCTCGCTCGTCCGTGTCTCGGCCCCGCTGGCCCCCGTTCTCGCATTAGTGTCTGTGTGCCAGGGTGCGCCCCGTTGCTCCATGCGTCCTCGTGTCCGCTGCTCACGCCTCAAACCCCAAAGCCCCGCAGTCCCCGGGGCTGCCCGCAGCACCGAGCCGAGAGCCCCGTGCCCGTGGGTTGCAATAAACCCAGTACGGGGCCGGGGTCTGCAGAGTCTGTCCCGGGCTGCCCCCCCCCGGCGCTGGGCACACAGCTCCCATGGGCAAAGCTGCCCGGGTACATCCCAGGAGCTGCTGCTTGCGCCCCAACAGGGGGGCACGCCATCGCCCCGGCCCGTCCCTTGCCGTACTGTGCTCCTGTCCTCCCTACCCCCATGCTTCCTCCGCCACAGCCCCCAGCCACTCAGCCCAGCCCTTCCAGGGAGGCAGAGGGCAGCTCGGGGCTTCGCAGTCATGCTGTGACCATCCTGCTCGAACTAGTCTTTGACAAACTAATAAAATAAAGGGATTTGTACATTGCTCTGGCCTTTTCTCAGCCCTTACTTCAAGCCACTTTCCCCATCCCTCCATCTCCCCTCAGGGCTGAGACCCGTCCACTCAGCACACTACCAGAGGGCACAGGGTTCATCCTCAGCCTGCATGGCACCCAGAAGTCAGGCCACAGGAGCCAGGTGGAGGGAAAGGCCTCCCATAGTCCCCCAGTGCTGCCCTCAGCCCAGCTTCCTCCTGTTCCCCAGTGCCCTCTATGGAGCTGGGGACAAGGCAAAAGGGTTCTGCAGCCCATCCTGCAGACTCACGAGTATGGTAGGGGGACCCCTTCCCCATGGCTCTGTGACTGCCCCCACAATAACTGGAGTCACCCACAGGGTGCAAGGGCTCTTTTTCTAGGCACAGACTTCTGGGGCTGAGGCTGAAGGTACCTCAATCCCAGTTCCCCCAAGAACAGAGGCAGATGCCAGGGGTACACACCAGGCAAGGGGTGCCTCGCACCCCTCAGCCAAGCACGGCCCCTGGCACCGCAATCCTGATGCAGCACAGCTCGGGAGGGCTCTGCCTGCAGCCAGCCTCAGCTTCGACTGATTTGCCATCATTTAACAGCAAAAAGCTCAGCTGTTACCCAGGCGGCATCAGCAGTGCATTCACCTGGAAAAGCCTCTGTCAGAAGGAAATATTAGGCTAAGAAATGATAGAGATCGTGCGGGCAAGGTCTCCATCACAGGCAGGCTGCGCCAGCACCTCCTCTCCAGTGACTGCCTGCAACGTGACCCAGCGCACGGCGGGGAAGAGACCCGCTCTGCACCCCTGGGGACAGGGGAGCACGGGGACAGCTCAGCCTTAGGCCAGCAGCCGTGGGTCAGGCAGGTGTCTTCTGCTGCCACCAGGGCTCCGCTGCATTCGTGTGGGTGCTGCTAGCTGGAGCAGGGAGGGCAGGGCTGGGTTATGGGATGGGGACAGTTGTGCCTGGCTGTCCCCACCCTCTGAGCAGCATCCCTTCAGAATCTTGTCCCCAGTGCGGGGACACAGCGCCCTCTGGTGGGGTGACACGAGATGGGAACGAGCCCTCAACACGGACCCCTGCCAGTGGGGCTCACCCACTGCCACACCGTGGTGGCAATGGAAGCGGCCGCTCAGCACCACGCTCCTTTCCCCGCTCATCTCCTGCTCTCACAGCAGCTGCAGGAACCTTCGTTACGGAAGAGGATTTATCAAAATTATAAAAACAACCACAAATACAAAAAAATGCCACAGCCAGGGTTCCACCCTCCAGCTCACATGCCCCCACACCTTCCCCATGCTGCCCCTCTGATGCTCTGCACAGGAAAGGGACAGGCTATGCTCCAGGGCTGCCCTCACCACCGGGCTGTGGGGGAGGATGGAAGGGACAATCACATAGCTCACTGCTGCTGGGGAGCCTGCCGCTGGGGCTTCCACACTGCTGCCCTAGAGCAGCGTTCCCATCTCAGGAGGCCCCTTCAGCAGTCACTTTCCATGATTTTCTTTGGCTGCTTGCCTTTGGAACAGACCTTCCATGCCCCAGGGATGAGGCAGCCCTGAGGTGGTGCGGGGGCCCTGCTGGCACCCCCCATCCTCACCAGCACACAAGCTGCTTTTTACAAATGCTTCTGAGAGCAGCACACATGGAGCTGAGACAAAGGTGATGGCATTGCCAAGCAGGTAAGGAGAGGACCGACATCCTTACCCCGTCCTATGCTAACTAAGCTCTCTTCCATCCCCAAGGGTGGGGAAGTGTTGCAGCCCCTGGTGCCCTGCCCTGCTGCAGTTCCATTAGGAGTCATTGGGGAGCCCGAAGAGCTTGACAGTGCCTGCTTCTCGGCTGCTGTCGTATTTGCCATCTTTGTCGTCACAGGCGAAGGCCAGCAGAGGCCTCTTCGGGTGCCAGGCCACTGTGAAGGTAGGGGACTCACACTGCACCTCCCAGAGCTTCTCTCCTGCACAGAAAAGGGCCCACATCAGCCTGGAGAGCCTCCTGCCCTCTACTGCAGGCTGACCTGTAGCACACAGCAGAGCTAAACACCTGCCTCTTCCCTCCTACGCAGGGCAGAGGAGGAACAAACGCTGCTTCAGCGCCTTTTAATCGCCTGGTGACAAGGCATAGACATGACACGCATATCTACAGCAGTCTGATGAGGCAGAGGCTCCCCCTCTTGGTGCTCTGCTGCACACAGCCAAGCTCTTTGTAAGTAAACTGCCTCTTCCAGTGCCCTCCCAGCTACACCAGCACATCTCTATCAGGTTCCCTCATTACCGCTCCCCAGTAGCAAACCATTACCTGTCTCCACCTCTGCAATGTCAATGAAGTGATCCTCTGATGCCGACGCCAGCATCTTCCCATCATGGCTAAAGCTCAGTGTTCGCACAGGCCAGTCAAGCCTGCAGCAGTAGAGCAAAGCAGACAGTGAGCGATCCCCCAGACAGTCACTAGAGAGGGGAGCAAATAGCTCCAGGACAGCACTACCTACCTGGAGAAGCACCTCACACACACCAGTTCATCCACATCCCAGAGGCTGACTAAAGCATCAGCGCTGCCTGTGGCAAAGTACTTCCCCATGGGGTCGAACTTGATGCAGATGCAGTTTGAAGGATGGGCATTGATGGACTGGATAGGTTTCAGTTCTGGGTAGCTGTAGAGATGAAGGGAGAGGGCAGGAAGCAGTGAGAGAAGCACAGGGCCTCTGTGCAAAGAGGGCAGGTGTGAGACATGCCGGGACCAGGTGTGAAACAAAACAGTGCAGGGTGACATTGCTGGAAACTTTAAGTGCTGAGTGAATAAGGAAAAGCATCACAGTCACATACAGAGAGTCCAGCCCAGGTATGGGGCAACTTCCTTCCAGGCAAGCTTGCTCCCATCACAGTGACTGGGAATCACTGGAATGTGGGACCCTGGTTCCCCAAAAGCAGCAGAGGGGTTTGCAAACTGCCTCAGCAAGCAGCAATGCACCAGGGCAGCCAGCCATGGTACCCTACCCACCATCTGCCACAGGCACCCACCTGAGGATGTTGATGCAGCCATTCCCATTAGTGAGGAAGAACATGTTGTTATCATTGTTCCAGGAGATCTCATTCACCTCAAACTTGAACTGTTCCTCTGCTTTGGAGCGATGTGTCTTTGCGTCAATGAAGGTGACAACATCATCCTTGTTCCCCACCGCAATGGTCTGTCCATCAGGGCTCCAACAGATGTTGATGTTCTCTCCTAGAGGGACAGAAAAGAAGCAGGTCCCATTTCCACCCCCAAGTTTGCAAGAGCCACAGCATGTCAAAGAGACAGACAGCTTTCATTTCTGATTTGAGGCCACAGACTGCTCCACTAACTCTGAATCGCTCCCACATGGGAAGAACTGCCAGGTCTGCAATTTAACACTGAAACTCTGCACTGAAAATTAAACTGAGAACTGTAGCTTGAAGCCAATAGGACTGCATCACTATCCTTTCCATTTTAGACACAGCAACCAACAAGCAAGGTCATATCAAAAGACCCTCTTAACCCAGTAATCTCCAATATCCAGAAAATCCAACAGCCAACAGTACGTGCACGTGAACGAGGGGAGGACCAAGGAATGCTACAGGTATGCCACCTTACAACTACATTCTCAACCCCGACAGTTGGAAGACAGAGATTTCTTAGGCCAGAGATGGTAGCTGGGCCAATCAAAACATCAATGTGAATGGCTGCTTTATGAATCCACGTCTCTCTCTGCAAACACACGTTCCCCAGCCTCCAGCCTTCTTGCCCATAGACTCCAGACAAATTCCTATGGCCCTTTAACAGCCAGCAGCACAGCTGAGCAGTGCCTCCAGTCCTGACAGCAGCATAAAGCAGCCCTCGTGCCCACTGTGCTCCTTACACCAGCTGAAGCTGGCTGAGCGCAACACAAAACTAAAAGCGGTACGCAAAGACCCTCAATCCCCAGTTCCAATGGAGGGGCTGTGTCACCGACCCCCGGAGAGGCAGGGACCCACCTTTGGTGTTGACGGTGGCAATGCACTTGGTGGTGCGGACGTCCCAGATGCGGATGGTTTTGTCCCCGGACGCAGTGACAAAGAGGTCGGGGTTGCTGGGATGCCAGCAGAGCTGATCTACGCTGTCACCGTGGCCGCGGTAATTGTTCTCTTTTACCTGGAGAAAGAAGAGAGCCGTGGCCCCAGCCCTGGAGGTGCCCAAGGCCACGGATGGGCCCCGGGCAGCTCGATTGAGGAGGTGGCGGCCAGCCTACGGCAGGGCTCGGGGGCTTTTAAGGGCCTTTCCAACGCAACCATTCCATCGCCCAGCGGTGCTGGCTGGCAGCCCTGCCCAGCACCCCGCTCCTATTTCCCTCTCTCCGCCCAGTTTCCCCGTCCGGTCCCAATTCCCCGCTCCCAGCTCCCTCCCCACCCGCTCCTGGCCCGGCGCAGCCCGCAGCCCCGAGCGCTGCTCCCGGCCCGCTCCCGCCGCTCACCAGCCGGTCCTTCTCGAGCAGGAAGACGCTGGCGGTCTTATCGAAGGATCCGGACGCGAGGCGGCGGCCGCAGCAGCTCCAGGCCACGGAGTGCACCTTGGCGCCGTGCGCCGGGAACTCGCGGCTGCGCGTGTTGGCGCGGAACAGCTCCTGCATGGCCTGCACGTAGGGCGACAGCGCCATGCCCGCCCCGCCGCGCCGACACCGCCGCCCCGCCCCGCCGCCCTGACGCAGCTTCCGCCGCCGCGGCACGGCCCGGCACGGCCCGCGGAGGGCGCCCGCGGCGGCGATGTCGGACGCCGCCGTCCTCGTCGGCGATTCGGGCTCGGAGGGCGGCCGCTCCCCTCCGCCGCCCCCCGCGGTGAGTCTGCGGCCGGGCCCGCCCCGCTCCCGCACGAAGCGCCGCGCTTCTGCCCTGTCCTCGGGCTCTCGCCGCGCGAGTGCCGCCCGCCCGCCCCGTCCCTCGGAAGCCGCGGGGCCGGAACCCCCGGCGGGCGGCAGAACGCGGGGCGCGGGGTTGCCGGGCAGCCGCGGTTCCGCGGCAGTTGGTGCCCGGTAACGAGGCGACGCGGCGGGGCGCCCCCAGAGCGGGCATCGGGGCCGGGCTGCACGCGGCCCTCGCGAGGGAAGGCAGAGAGCATCGGGCGGAAAAATGGATTGAAATTGGTTTTCTTGCAGATCTTTACAAAAGTTTCCGCCGCGTCCTAGCTGTGCTGCCGTGCGATGGATGTGAAGGTAGTGCTGGGCCCAGGGGAGGCTGAAGAGAGCAGAGAAAAGCGCCCATCAGCAGGGCACAGGGCTGCCCCAGCCCCGTGGCCGGGCTCCTGCTCTCTCTGGGTGCTCACCGGGCTGCTCTCCTGGGTGAGCATGGGAGGACTGAGGCACCCAGCTGCTGTGGTTGCTGACACCACTGACCCTTTTGTCCCCACAGGAGATCATCGATCTCACCCAGGAGGACACAAACTCAGAGCCGCTGCCGTGGAACTACATCCCCATCATTGACCTGACAAAGGAGGACACCTGCAGTCCTCCCCCTACTGCAGACTGTACTGACCAGGACCAGGTGTCTGCTTCCCCCATCGTACACACGTCCCATCCCCAGCTTTGCTTCAGCACAAAGCAAGAAGTGGAGACGAGCCCAAAGCTGATCCCTGCAGCACCCTTACATGGCTATCCCACACAGCCCAGTACTGCCACAGGCACAGTAGTAAAAGTGGAGAACAAGAGTGGCTTCTCTCCTGTCTCCAGCCACCGCAGTTCCTTCTGCAGCCTAGAACCAAGCTGCAGCACCAGCACATATAACACTGAGTCAGGCTCCCCGGCCAGCACACAGCTGGACCAAGCGCTGTTCTCACCATCCCTCTCCATCCTGGACAGCAGTGGCAGCACACGTGGCATAGAGACTCCCCCTACTTTCCAGCTAAGGAAGCTCCCCCCAGGACTGAGCCCCGCTCCAGCCAGCATCACTAAGAGCCCACGAAAGGCCAAAGGGACTTTTCTGGAAGCAGGTGGCTCACAGGAAGCAATTCGACAAGTGACCTCAGGCAGGACTAGGGCTGACACCACTTGGCTAAACAAACTGCGCTATTTCAGGAGGAGTGGAGTCCAGCACCTCTTCTTTCATGGTGCAACATCTGACTGGGAAACACCACAGGTAAATGGGTTCAGAGCAACTACTGCCCAGCCAAGTCCATTTAGAGCAGTTCTTGTGGCAGAGGATGGAACATGGGCTGCCCTCTGCTCCACTTCCCCTTTCAGGGGAAGCTTTGCCAGGCCACTGGGATCTCTAGTTATTGCAATTCTCTTAATGGAGGGCCTCAAATCACAGCTAGGTTCCTCTGTACCACGGGGAGCTGGCTTTCACCCATTGCCTTGCCTTGCCCACAGCGGAAACCCGAGCTCATCCCCAGCAGTAAGATGAGCATGGTACGCACCACCATGGAAGAGAACTTCCTGGAGGGAACTTTGCATTTCCTCAGTGACTTCGTCTCCTGCCAGCACTGCCCTCCCAAAGAAACCGTCTCCCATCTAATCAGACAGATCCTGTTGAACTCCCACCAGGAGGAGATCCTCCAGAACACCTACACATTGCTGATGAAGATCCAAATGTACGTGTTTCCTTTGCCACCATGCCTTGGGGCTGGCTAGGTGCCCAGTATAAGGGTTACTCTATGAAGTCCTCACCAGAGAACAGAGAGTAAGCGTCCCTGTAATGCATGGTGGTCCTCTGGCCTGCAGTAGGGGCTAGAGCAGCTCTCTGCTGCACTGCAATCAGGTAGAATGTTTTGTGAGGCCACAGGTGTGCCACTGCTCTTTGTAGAGTACAGCCCATCAGGTGCTTCCAAAGATCTGACACAGTCAGGGGAGGAGAAAGGGAGAAGGCAGAGCTGAAAAGGGGACAGCAGCAAGCAGAAATGGGAGGTTTGGGGTGGGGGCTGCCTGACCTCAAGGCAGCCAGTGTGTGGCAGTTCAGCACAAATAAATGGTGCTGTCCTTGCAGGCTCCATCCAGCCAACACCACCACAGTAGGATGGGACTGGACGCTGCTGAAATACACCATGGAGAGCCAGGTACTCAGCACTGCATGTGTCACATTAGACAGAGATCACCCAGTACATGGTGCTTGCCCCATAGCATCACCTGGCCTTGCTCTGCTGCACAACAGCTCAGTCTAATGTGCAGTTCTATTGCAGCTGAAGGCAGCAAGTGTTTTTATCTGTGGTACTCCTTAACGTGCTGTACAACTGCAGGCAGGTTGGCGAATTGAAGAAGCCACAGCAGCAGACAAAAGCATTTTGAACTGGAGCAATACATGAGAAACCCAAGTCAAACAGCCCCAGTCGAGGCCCTGGGGCATTGCTGAAGCCATGCAGCCCCTCCTAGAGAGCAGATGTGCTATTCCTCAGTCACATATATCACCTCATTCCCAAAAAGCCACATTTCCTGGTGTTCTTTGCCCTGCAGCTCCATCAGGCTCACACTATCTCTATCTGCCCTCAGGAGAAGCTCCCTGGACGACTCCTCTTCCTACAATATGTGGTGCAGACCTTGGAGGATGACTTCCAGCAAAACCTGAGGCTGCACCTGCTACAGAAGTCAATAAGCAAGAAAGTACTTTCCTGTGATACATGCTTCAACAATGTCAAGTAAGGGATGCGTCCTCCTCTCCTGTACTCTAATTAGCTGCAGAGAGGCAGCAGCTTATGGAATGTTTGTTGAGACTCAAGTTCAGACTTTTCAAGAAACAAGCTTGAAAAAGTGTAGGGACTAGCTATAAAAAAAAAAAAAAAGCATGTTTATGACCATAAACAACCACAAACAATGCAAGGGCACAAGCATACTTTTTTTTTTAAAAAAAAAAAAGGCTGTCCAATCAAAACATATCCTTCTTTCTCAGGGTCTTTCTTCACACTCTAAGTGGAACTAGAGGTCAGAACACAGCAAAGCCAGGCCCATCTAACATTCTAACATTTCTGTCCCAGGGAGGTGGTTGAATGGTTGGTTGCATTGGCGACAGGAGCCAGATTCTTCCAGATGCAGGAGCAGACACAAGAAATGACACGCTCAGAAGCAGGAGCTGAACGTAGCTCATCTACAGCACAGCCAGCCAGCACTGACCAAGCACAGCTGACTCCACCAACATTGTTCGCCCAGAAGTAAGTCCCACAAATCCTGGCTCCCTGCTGATGATAATATGAGGTCCAAGTCAGAGAAACACATCCATCCTCTGTCTCTATCTTATCAAGGAAGCCAGGTTGTACCTGTGGTCAGCCTTCCTGGTACTTTACTCTAGGGCAGGTAAAGACTTGGGGAGCGAGAGACTTCCTTGCCTGGCAGCAAGCTGGTTCACTGAATGCCTTCCTCTTAAATGAGGCCAGAGCTCTCAGCCCACAGGCCAGGCTGCCCATGCTGCTCCAGTAACACTCAGTACACCCACTAAGACTTCCCTAATGTCCATATGGGAAATGGCTCTGCTTCCAAGAGGATCAGATTTAACATACTCTAAGAGACAATGTAGGGCTTTGTAGGAAGCAAACCAAATTCCAATCAAGGAATGTAACCTGCTACATTCCTTGATGACCTTAAGGCACAAGACTGAACTAGCCACCTCCAGTGTTTAACTGTGCAAACCAATGGGTATTCTTTCACACTGTTGACTCTTTTCCTAACCTAGGGCAATGCTCCTCCTCCAGCGCATGTTGTCCTTTGCAGTGGAAGTGGACAGATCTCCCAACTGCAGCTCCTGTAAGATCGCAGATCTAATATTCCCATTTTTACTGAATATTCCCACCAGGAGCCAAAGGTGAGAAACGTGCAAAGCAGCATCTCCTTTCTGGGCCATAGTCTTACTCCCTATTTCTGGATGCATGAAGTAGTATAGAGCATAGAAAGACAGACTTGCTTTTGATCCAGTCAGCATGAACACAGCTGTAGGACTGAGAGATCCCATCAGTATTACCAGCTGATCCTCAGGCACTATCCCAGGCCAGTGTAATGCTGAGAACAACTGGTTCTCTCACCTCAGAACTGCAAAGAGGAACTAAAAAACAGTAATCCACATCAGCACAGTGAAGTACTAGCAAACACATCACCAATTCCCAGGGGCCAATGAGAAATACAGAAATACTCAAAATACACTTCCTACAGCACTACCTGGATATGTTTTTGTTTGCATTGGTAAGAAGCATAGTATCTAAAGACAGCAAGGGGCCTGACTGACTTTAACATAGACATGAGACCACTAAACCCCTAACTGTTCTAAACTCATGTTTGCCAATATCAGCAAGCAGTCTTTTCAGATATTTTTAGCAAAACTCACTCTGAGCACACACCAGTCTAATCAAGTCTAACTCTAACCAAGCTATCATTCATCGCGGGACAGTTCTTGTAGATCATTGGCAGCTGATTCCACTTTTCACATTTGCTTGACTATGCTCCCTGTGAGTCAGCAGGAATGGATAATTTCTGCATAGGATGTTGGGCAGGATCAGGTGAAGCAGCTAAGCTTGTTTCACAAACCACACCAACCTCAATTTGCAGCAGGTCAGATCTAAGGATTGCAAACATGCCCATGGTAGAGCTGCATAACAAAGATTTCTATCATATTGGTGGGTTTGCTTTAACTATACTGCAAGGCAGACACTTCTTTTACCCCACCCTTGCACCAGATCAGCATCAGCAGGAGACCAGGAGCGCTCTGAAGTAGTTTTTGCTTGTCAGGCTGTGCTGTCTCCACTAGAATAAATCTTTGTCTTGCAGGGAAGCCCTCTTAAACACCATGGAGAGCAACCTGCTGCGCTGCAAGCTGCTAGAGATGATGTTCCAGCACAGCTGTGATGTGCCCACAAGCTTGCCCTTATCTCTGTCCAAGATCCTCTATTTTCTAGGCCACTCCTCTGTGCTGCTGCAATACCAGGTATCCAGCCATCCTTCTCCCTTCTGTGGCATCTCCTGAGAAAACCACTCCTAAAACCAAATACCATCTGTTGTCATAGGATGAAGTAGCTACATGGCAAAAATGGGATGAGCTGCTGCAGTACTTGAGCTTGCTGCTGCTGAGTTACCAAAATGTAATAGCAGGTAAGTAGCTTGATCTAGTCTTAATAAACATGGTCTCATGCAGTGGCTGCAACAGAACAGCCCAGGGAATACTTCATCTCATCACTCTTAAGCTCACAGCCACAGTCTTAGAAAGATAACGTGCTTCCATTCTTGCTGCTAAGTATTCTCTGCATTCAGAGCAAAGAAATGATAATGCATCATGCAGAGCACACAACAGCACATTTAGCTGCTGAGAAATAGCCTACATCCTACAGCATCAACCCCAGCACTGCAAAGCTGGCAGCAGAGTAGAACTAAGTTGCACACGCACTGGTTTAGAACAGGGTAGGGCAAGTAAAAGCTACCAAAAAATTCCTAGAAGTCTCTTGCCAATTTCTGCTGCTTTTCCAGGCTTAAGGCTCTCATAGATTAATGCAGAGAAACCTGAGATCACACATCTAGAGCATTAAGCTCAACGAATTCTTCCAGGGTCCACTGGTGCAGTCTGGTACTAGCGCTGGAAGAAAGGATCTATACAGCCCTGCTCCCTCAAGGTTTCTCAGGCACTCTGTGTGCAGACCAAGCAGGAGGAATCAGTGCCAATTCATAGCCATGAAAGACTTTGCACAGTTCCCAGCTGTTCTTCACCACAGCACAGTGCTGCCTAAGGGATTCTGCAATCTGACCCTTAACAGGTCAGACAGCCTATTGTGTTACCTCCCCCCAACAGCATTTCCTCTTGCAGAGCACTTAAGGAGCTCACTCAGTGAGCGGGTGGACTTAATCATTAAGAAAGCCAAGCCCAAACTCCAAGATGATGATGACATCAGCCAGCTGGACATCCACCTGAAGATAAAGGACTTCCTTAGCCGAATGCAGCAGATCCTGGAGGAGCCCTTCCCTGTGCAGATCATGGAGAAGGTGTGCATGCTCAAAAAACTGTTTCTCATTGTCACTGCTACCTGATGGAGCCAACCACTGCAGCAGAAAGGAAAGCTATGAATTCAAAGACCTGTCTCATACTGCAGATTCCCATGTCATCTGTCCTGTTGTATGTTTGGAAAAAAAAAATCTCTGGCTTTTAGTCTCAATTTCCTTTCAAACTTGTCCCATCCTACAGTTTTACAAAGCACTTTGTGTATCTTTAAAAAATAAATTATTTCTGTATTTATTGGGTCTTCATCTTGGTATCCTGCTCAAAAGACACAAAGCTCTGCTGCTGTAGACTGCATTAGACTAAAGCAGCCATAAAGTAACAGTAGTTTGTACAGCAAGCACAACACCAAGATATTTGTTCAATACTCAGGAAAAGTTGATAGTCTTCTCAAAAACACAGGTGTGGGATATAGTGAGAAGAGTCACAGTGCCAAGACCTCTAAGTCATACCGCTCAGTCCTCAAGGAATGAACCTTTCTGTTCCAAATCAAATACATCTATGTGACTTCAAGCAAGGCACCCCAGCCACGTCAAGAGATGGGACTGGACAAGCAGCACCCACTGGAAGGGCTGCACTTCTTCTAGAATGCACTGAAGTGTCTGCAGTGCAGTCAAGTACATACTATCAAGATGAGTACCCATTGCAAATCCAGTGCCACCAACTGAAGTATGAGTAACTGAGGTCAGAGAGCAGTTGGTACTTTCACAGACGGTCCCGAGTTCATCAGTAACAGATGTTGTGTTGATCTCCCTGCAAATAGGAGTAAGACTTCCGTATCTGCCCATCACCCTTTGATCTGCCCCTATGCTTGGCAAACCTTGGCAGCTCAGGCATTTTGCAGTGCATACTCCAGTGAGCAGGATTAAGAGCCTTAAGAGAACAAAGTCCAGGAGAACAGAGCTGCAGTGATGGCCAGGAATGCAGTAGTCCTGAAAGGAGTATTAAATACACTGTAGATCTGGTGCTGGCTATGCAGCCAGGCATCAAGAAGAAGCCTGGCCTCAGCCTAAAACTTTACAAGTTAGAGCCAGCCGTGACCCTTGGCTCTTTTGGAAGCCTCTCTTCAAACACCAGATGTGCAAATGGGTGATCTGTTCTACATCATCTCCCTTTAATCCAGAGATATGCCATCTCCAGGGAGAGGTGAAGTTGTGTTTGAACTAACAGGTCAGAAGAATTTACAGCAGTGCAAACACCAAACGTTCCTTGCTACAGAAAGCTGTTTCCCCTGCTTGATATACTCAATTTTGATGTATTTTTTAGTTCTTATATTCCACTAGAAAAGATTTCTGCCATCAGCCTAGTACAGAAATTGCTGTCCAGAAGGACCAGTTACAGATACTTCTTTCTGATGTGCTGGTGAGATCCCAGGGCAAAAATTCAAGCAACATATGTAAAGAAGAATATCACACAAATAGAACACCCTTTAACCACAGCTTTTGCAACTAAGCAGTAAGATTAGTCTGCACAACTAAGACCTACAGCAATAGACAATACAGAACTATCCAGGTTTTCAAAGTAGTATTCCTCTACTTTCAGCTCTGCAAACATTCAAAGAAAAATATTACATCACTATTCAGCCCAGTCACCTCCAGTCCAGAAGAGATGTATGCTCTAAGTGCCACAGCAGCACCCAAACCAAAGGCAAAGGAAATAGACGCAACCAAGAGCTGGGTAACTCTAGGCAAGTACAAACAACACAATCATCTGAACAGCTCAAGAAATACTAAGGTTTCATGCTGTTTCATCAGCAAACAAGCTGAAAACAGGACTGAATCTAGTCCCCCAGTCAAAAAGGAGATTTAAACAGCAAGTACTTTACCACAGCGCATGTTTCTACAGCCTTACAGGGCTGAGCCTTGACCCCACATTTGTAGGCCAGTAGCAAGCACACCAGTAGATACTGCACAGCCTCAGATTTTTTCCATACATGCATTACCAAAGCTAATACGCAAAGACCTCAATTCACAAGGATTTTATTTTTTTGTAATAAACAAAAAATCATACACATTAAGACGTGACACAGACAATAAATTAATGTCAAATAAGAGATTGATTCCCAAGGTGCAAATGACTGGTGGCAGTAACTGCTCAGTTGAGTGGGAGATTTTCAATATCTGGCAGTGTTGTTGAAGCTTATGATGAAGCAGAGCCACAAAATACAGTTCTTCAGAGGGTACAGCAGATAGCCAAGTGAGCCAATCCTGCCTCACCCTCACGGATGGATGGCTGGAGCAGGCAGAAACTCCAGAGCACAACTGTTACCTTAAGTCAACTCTGTGAGAAGTCCTTGTAACAGAACAGCTTCAAATGAGGGTGCCACTCTCACCACTACAGAAAGCCTGCTTCTGACTGAGGGCACTCTGCAACACAATCATGATGTCAAGAAAGAGGATGTCTGGTTGCCACAGGACAGGTAACGATCACACAGCAACACTGCCTACAGTGCACAAGGGGACTGGATGGTAGCTAGGAGGTCCTCCCATTATTCATGAAAGTGTTAAGTGTCTGCAGTAACTGGTTTTGACTTGGCCAAAAAACTACATATCACTGTATTACTGAGTGAAGGAATTCTTGATCTTTCACTTTGCCTTCTGCCAGCCCTGCAAAATCTATTTAATGCTGATGAAACAAAACAAAAAAAAAGCTGTATTTGAGAAGTGCCACTGATGTCTAATACACTTCTATACATGGTTCACACAAGATGCTAGAAAAAAAAAACAATCAAGCCGGAGTGCCACAACTACTGTATGTCTGTTGTCTAGGACAAACCAGGACAGTGTTGTTTTACGCACAGAAAAGATCATGTGGCTTAAGCCACACCAGCTCTGGTCATTCCCACCATTTTTAGAGGAACCTGAAGACTTGGAAGAGAAACAATTCTTCCTGATTAATGTTAAGTCCCATTAGATTCTGCTCCCTGCCTTTCTAATAAGAGCATCTTAGAGCAGACAGTGCTCCACTCTTCTGAAATTAAATCAGGAACAAGTATGTACTAGGTGAACTAAGAGGTGACATCAGAAGTGAGCTGCATATTTAAAGCAGACCTATCATGTTGCCAGAGTAGCTTTCCTCCTGGCATTTAATGGTCCAGTTTTCAGTCCTTGCTTATTTTCACCATTTTCTATTGGTGTTCTGTGAACATCAGACAGAACCATGGTCCTCTTGAGGGTACTGCAGCATTGAGCATGACAAGACAGACTACAGGCAGACAAGCCAGCCTATTGCACACGACATGCAGTCCTCTCCCACAAAAATCAGTTTGAAGTTGTACTGCAGCGCAGTGCACTGGGAAGCACATCTCCTAGCGCTGCATAGCACATAGGACTAGTGTAGTACAGCAGAGAAGATGGTTTAGATTGGTTTAGTATGAGTGCAAGAGTTTTTCCAAGACCAATTTGGGTCTGAATTTAGGACAGTCACAGTTGTTTCCTTTTCTTAGATGAAGAGCTGGAAAGGAGATATTCCTATTTTACTGCAGCACAATGGGTCAGGAAAGCAGAGCTTAAGATACCCTGTAGCCCACTAAAGACACCAAAACTACTCTTCCTAGAATCCAGTTGGAGTGAGCACATTCAGATCCCGAGGTTTGATATTATGGGAATGCGAAGATTGTTTCCTCCCTTCTGTGACTGGAATGTCCATTTTGGGTGGCTTGAAGGTGACTGAATCCTCTGTCATTCTAGTAGCCTGAGCACGCATCAGCTCCATTGGGGATGGCTTCTGAGCACCCTTATAAGATTGGATGGTAAAGCCTCCTGATGAAAAAAAATCACAATTAAGAGCTACAAAAACTAGCTATGTCATTTTTCTACTCCAGTTCAGAGCATTGTACCACTGACAGCCAGATCTGCTGGAAGTCTACACAGTGCCAGACAGCTTCATGTCATCTAAAACCTAGTCCACATCAAGGAGTGACATTTCCAGTTCTAATTCCACCAGGCAGCCAAGAAAGCAGAAGAGCAAAAAAGCTGTCACCTTCATACTCTGCTTTTGGCACAGGTCCTGATATGAACAGCACACATTCCCAAGGTGAACAGAAATAGTTAAAGAGCAAAACCGCTAGCAATTCTCCCCTAGCTCTTGCAGGGCAGACTTCAGAGGACATACCTGGATCATTGGTGGATTTCTGGATGGTTTTGGGTCCAAAAAAACTCCACCTTTCAGATGGCAACCTGTCCCCACCAGCTTCCATGGTAGCAAAGTCTGGGGCAGCGATAGAAGCGGAGGATCCCTGACTAAACCAACCCCTAGAGGAACAAAAAAATCACTGAGATATAAAAAGAATAAATACTTCAGGTGGCATCAGTGTGCCAGGAAATTTATATGAAGTTACCAGGAGCATGTTAAACAGATTTGCTACCAACCAGGATGAAGATAGGCATGTTCAAGTTCCATAAGCTTTCAATACAGTCAGTGATAATACGAATACGCAGCAATTCCATGATTTTCACCCCTTAGCCAGTCCCTCACTCACAATTCAACAGCCTGCAGGAAAGCAGAGGAAGTGATCTGACAGAAACAGTGTACCTGCTTTTATGCCTGGGAGAGGAGTGGGGAGTGCTGCTTGGAGTGGACTGAGCAGAAGATGTTTGTTTGTCATCTTTTGTCATTTCTCCGCTCTGCATTTTTAGTTTCTGTTAGGAAGGGCAAGAGAAACACAAGCAACAGATCTTAAGTACAAGGCATAAGGAACAAAGGTAGTTTTACTGTCAAAATTGAGATTAAATGTTCTCTCACCTCAAGCTACACACAGTATTACAATACTTGTACATACCTGTTAAGCTTCCTTCCAAGTCACACACAAGCATTTCAGAAGTCCACTATGCTCAAGACATACTCCAAGCTACAGTAAGATAACATAGCTCACTCTGCAGTTCAGAGTCTTATCAACAGCAGCACATTGCTTCAACACCAGCATTCAGAGGAAGGTGCTTACACTGCAGCAGAGCTAGCTTACCAGGCACAGAACTGCTGGCTGCAAGGTGGCAAGTCTCAGTGTCACAGCAGCCACTTGTCTAGAGCAAGAGCTTTCAGTCCCATAAGCTCCATAATGAAGGGGAGATCAGCCCTTATATAGAAATCTAGAACTAGACCCTGAGAAGTGACCCACAAAAGAAGATG